TTAATTCCAACTTGTGATTCATCAAGCCCAGCCTTTCTCATGATGTGCTCTGCATATAAGTTAAATAGTCAGGGTGACAGTATGTAGCCTTGCCGAACTCCTTTCTCAATTTTGAACCAATCAGTGGTTCCATACCCAGTTCTCACTGTTGCTTCTTGACCCGCATATAGGTTTCAAGAGACAAATAAGATGGTCTGGTACTCCCATCTCTTTAAGAACTTGCCACAATTTGTTGTGATCCACACAATCAAAGGCTTTAGCATAGTCAATGAAGCAGAAGCAGTTTTTCTGGAACTCCCTAGCTTTCTCCATGATCCAGCGTATGATGGCAATTTGATCTCTAGTTCTTCTCCCTCTTTGAAACCCTGTCTGTACTTCTGGTAGTTCTCGATCTACATACTGCTGCAGCCTAGCTTGTAGGATTTTGAGCATAACTTTGCTAGCATGTGAAATGAGTGCAATGGTGCGGTAGTTTGAGCATTCTTTGGCATTGCCCTTATTTATTTATTTATTTATTTATTTATTTATTTATGAAAACATTTCTATGCCGCCCCTTGCCGAAGCCTCGGGGCGGCTCACAACACAAAATAAAATACAATAAAATACAAAAATAACAATATAAAATTAGCAATATAAAATAAATAACAATATAAAAGATATAAATATCCCTTCTTTGGGATCAGAATGTAAATTGATCTTTTCCAATCCTGTGACCACCGTTGAGTTTTCCAAATTTGCTGGCATATGGAATGTAGCACTTTTACTGCATCGTCTTTTAGGATTTTGAATAGCTCAGCTGGAATGCTGTCACCTCCACTAGCTTTGTAGTTGTTCAGTCTTCCTAAGGCCCATTTGACTTCACATTCCAGGATGTCTGGCTTGAGGTCAGTGACCACCCCATTGTGGTTATCAGGGATGTTAAGCTCTTTCTTGTATAGTTCTTCTGTGTAATCTTGCCATCTCTTCTTAATCTCTTCTGCCTCTGTTAGACCCCTGCCATTTTGGTCCTTTATCATGCCCATCTTTGCATGAAACATTCCCTTCATATCTCCAATTTTCTTGAAGAGATCTCTGGTCCTCCCTACTCTATTGTTTTCTTCTTTTTCTTTGCACTGTTCATTTAAGAAGGCATTCTTATCTCTTCTAGCTATTCTCTGGAATTCTGCATTCAGTTGGGTGTATCATTCTCTTTCTCCCTTGCCTTTTGCTTCCCTTCTTTCCTCGGCTATTTGTAATGCTTCCTCAGACAGCCATGTTGCTTTCTTGCATTTATTGTTCTTTGGGATGGTTTTAGTTGCTGCCTCTTGTACAATGTTGCAAACCTCCGTCCATAGTTCTTCAGGCACTCTGTCTATCAGATCTAATTCCTTAAATCTGTTTGTCACCTCTACTGTATATTCATCAGGGATATGATTTAGATCATACCTGAGTGGGCTAGTGCTATTCCCTACTTTCTTCAATGTATCCCTAAATTTTGCAACGAGAAGCTCATGATCTGAGCCACAGTCAGCTCCTGGTCTAGTTTTTACTGACTGTATAGGGCTTCTCCATCTTTGACTGCAGAGCACACAGTCAATCTGATTTCTGTGTTGACTGTCTGGTGACGTCCATGTGTAGAGTTGTCTCTTGGGTTGTTGGAAAAGAGTGTTTGCTATGACCATTGTATTCTCTTGAAAAAATTCTACCAGCCTGTGCCCTGCTTCATTTTGTACTCCAAGGCCAAACTTCCCTGTTATTCCGGTTATCTTTTGGCTTCCTACGTTAGCATTCCAATCCCCCATGATGATAAGGACATCATTTTTTGGTGTTACTTCTAGAAGGTGTTGTAGGTCTTCATAGAACTGGTCAATTTCAGCCTCTTTAGCACCAGTGGTTGGGGCATAGACTTGGGCTACTGTGATGTTGAATGGTTTGCCTTGGATTCGAACTGAGATCATTCTGTCATTTTGGAGATTGTATCCCAGTATTGCTTTTCCTATTCTTTTATTGACTATGAAGGCTGCTCCATTTCTTCTGAGGGATTCTTGCCCACAGTAGTATACCTGATGGAGATCTCAATTAAATTCACCCATTCCTGTCAATTTTAGGTCACTGATTCCTAAGATGTCAATGTTCAGTCTTGTTATCTCTTGTTTGACTACATCCAGCTTGCCTTGATTCATGGATCTTACATTCCAAGTTCCTATGGAGTATAGATCTTTACAGCATCAGACTCTCCTTTCACCACCAGATACATCTGCAACTGAGTGTCCTTTCGGCATTGACCCAGTCGCTTCATTCTGTCTGGCGCTACTAGTACTAGCCCTCTGCTCTTCCCCAGTAGCATATTGGACACCTTCGGATCTGAGGGGCTCCTCTTCCAGCGCCATATCTTTTTGCCTTTTGGTACTGTCCATGGGGTTTTCATGGCAAAGATACAGGAGTGGGTTGCCATTTCCTTCTCCAGTGGATCACATTTTGTCAGAGTTCTCTGCTATGACCTGTCCGTCTTGGGTGGCCCTGCATGGCATAGCTCATAGCTTCATTGAGCTACGCAAGCCCCTTCGTCACGACAAGGCAGTGATCCATGAAAGAGACTTCCTTACACATGTGCAAAATTCAGATTTCCTTCTTCTTTGTTGGCCTCATACTAATCCCACTCTTGGAAGCTTTTTATATCTTGGAAAATCATCATCATCAACACATCACATTTTGAACCTACTTGCCAGCTTTGCTATTCTAAGTGTGGTAAACAAGTGGATGTGTCAGTGTGGTGTAGCAGCTAGGGGACTTGGAAGAACCAAGATTCACATGCTGCCTTAGCCACAAAGTCCACGGGTAATCTTGGTCTAGGCACAATCTTTCAGCCTAACCTACTCTACAGGGTTTTTGTAAGGATAAAATGGAGAGAGGTAGAATCATGTAAGCCGCCTTGATGAACAGTGGGCTGTACATGTAGTAACTAATAAAAATGCAAGGTAGTCATTATTTTAGTTATCACAGGACTTTTTACTCACCAGAAGCATGCAAGGGGAATTCCAATATTTAAAAAGCAGTATGAAGAAAACAAAAATCACAACAATTCATCTGAGCAAATGAACTGGATAACACAATATGAAGTCACTAACAATCTAGGCAGAGAGATTTTAAAAAAATCAAATAGAAGGCAAGTCAAAGGCTTGCACAAATGCTGCTTGGTGGCAGAAGACCTCAAATGAAGAGACAAGGTGATTTTCTTGGCAAAGCAGGGTCTCATCTCATTTAGCTGATGCCAGTACAGAAAAGACACTTTCCTTGATTGCGCCTAGTGCATGGAGTTGGCAACCTGGCACCCTCTGGAGGTCTGGAACTACAACCTATGGCCATGTTGGCAGATGCTGGTGGCAGCTGCAGTCCAAAAAAACTGGAGGGTAAATAGGTAACAAAGACACCAAAAGCCTTCAGTTCTCTTTCCTCACATTCACCTGTAAAAAGCTACATACTTAAACTTCTTTATACTGGAGCATCAGCAGTATTCACAGTACCAGTGAAGCTTCTGGGAATCTATTCTACAGCTTCGTATTCTTTTTTGAGAAGGTCTGTTCTTATTAGTGTGCAGAAACCCTTCCCCTTTGGAGTCCCTAGTTCCATAAAGCCCACACACTTATCTCCATCAGGCCTATAAATCCACTCTGTATGTGTCCAGCTTACAGTAGTTTGAGATACTAGCATAGTACGGGAGAGTGAACTGAGCCTTGTCCTCTTTGACAATCTCTCTTTATGGATGATGTGCCTATAACAGTAGTTAGTCTCTCACAGCTTCCTTCCTTACTACCAGTTCCACAGTATGTGGACAATGGACTTTCTCTTCTCATCGTGTGACTCTGGGAAGCATAAAGTACCTCTGGGCTGTTGCCAGCCATGCCAGCCTGGGAGTCATGAGGAAAAGGAGATTAGTTCCTTGTGACTGTGGCTGAGTATTGGCATCAAAATGGGCATTCTGTTATGGAACAGTGTTGTAAGCTACTGCACGCAAGTTTCTGTGATGATTAGCAAGCTGTTAAGCCAAATGTGGAACCCAGCAAATTGTCTAACTAACCAAACATTGTCTGAAGATCATTTTCTTCTGTCTCAGTTTCTACTAGCATAAAAAGAGGATAAACTGGTAAGTGTGTGCATAGAATAACATCTGCAAAGTACCATTTTTCATCTCTGATAGTGCTTTCGCCAAAGAGGGAACAAGGATGCTTAAAACCAAGGAATTCTGGGTTCAAATTGCATGTTTACTACCTTAGGTTTCTTGGAAAAATGCAAGACACAAATGGCACATGTAAATAGCAAGCAACAGCTCACAGGATCAAAATAGTTTTGCATTTGACTGCACATGTAATTCTGTATTGGTGTCTTATATCTGTTTTGTGCAATGTGCTCTGTGAACTCCTTCAGCTTGCCAAAGGAAATTGAGGTATACATTGAATACAAGAATAAATAGTAACTCCTTTATATGGGATATTTTTCTTAAGCCTGCCATTAGATATTCCAGCCTGAATCATATCAGTCTGAATCAGATGAGGATCTCGCTCATTTGGATTTCTCAAGAGTTTCATCTGAAATTAAACAATTAAACTGTGTGTGTGTGTGTGTGTGTGTGTAAGAATAAACTACTACAATAGGTATAATGGGACTTTTGATGGTTTTATTTTAGCGTGATCTCACTAGGAGACTCACCACACTGTTAAACTAGCAGCAGTAAAGCTGCAACATTTGAATGTCTCTGTTCCACAATAAATCTGTGCATAATTTCCTGATTGTTTACTGTGCCAGTCCTTCACTTCTACTTAAAATTCTTTTATACTTTGCCACTTGCATGGACCATGAACTTCAGTTAACATATATACTACTGAATTCCTTGGAACTATTCCTGTCAGTTAACTCAAATCATAACTTTGGTGTTTATGCTGAGAGATCCGATACCATGGAGTATCCAGGCATGTACTTAGATCAGGCACTGTTCCATCAGAGGTCAGCTCTAGAAGTTGTACCTGTGTGCTTTGGTGCAAGCTCCCTAATCAGGTTGACAAAGTCTGTTTTTTCAATGCATGCTCTGCACACTTCTCCCCAGCTATCCAGGATCTTCCTCAGTTCAGCCACTCTCATCTTAGAGAGGTCTACCGATGTTAAATCCAGTTGTCTTTCTGTAAAAACATCATATGCTATGTTATTTTTTTCTTATGTATCCAGTTTTACATAAAGAAGCTCCTTCAGCACCCCAAAAGCTCAAGCTCTTGCAAGAAGAATGTTTTCCCAATTTTCATGCAAATGAATATTCCAGATTGGCTCCAGATGGCAGCTATGTACTCATGGAATCTCATAAGCATTGCATGTTGATGAGGTCTATCCTTCCCCATGTATACAATATACTCCTTCTGAACATGAAGGGTCTTTTTCTGTATTTTGTCAGATAAAGGACACATCAAAAAGAGAACAGTCCTCTCACAGCCCTTCAAACAGTAGTCTGTCCTCTGTAAAAGAAGCTATCTGGTCACCCTAAAACTGAGGCCACACTTGTGGGCCCCTGCTCCTCCATCACATCCCTGTTGCTGGCCCCTCACATATTGCAAGGTTTGAAGTGGGGAGGCTGCTCTACACAGGGAATTGATTTGGCTCAGCTGGAGAGTCAAGGTAGAAAATATTGTTGAGCCCCTCAGGGTGTGGGAGCAGAAGACCAGTGATACTAGCAGGAACAGAGAGCTGGAAGCCCACCTATCCGCTACTCTTTTTTTTTCTTTTTTCTTTTTGGGAAAGCCAAGCTGGGCCCTCTTAACCTGTGGAAATGCAGGCTCCTAATGAAGAGGAAGAGTGGGTGGGAATGCAATGCGAAGCGTTAGGTTTGTCACACAAAAGGGTCAGAGAGGTGTAGTCAAGCAAATGCCTCTCTGTACCTTGAGGGAGAAACTTGCTAGCTTAAGACAAGCTGTAGTATACAGGATCAGTTTTGTGACAAATCCATTCAGGATGCTCTAATCAGGGAACTGAAGCTTACAAGGTACTGTGTTAGGCAATGTCTTCCTGGAATTTTTGTTTCTTTGTCTGTGTAAGGATGGAGAATTCAAAAGCTTGTTTGTGATTTTGTGACATTTTGGTTATTCCAAATAAAAATATTGCCCAACTGCAGGTTCTAATATTTTTGTAAAGTACCTATAAGGCTTCCTATGTTTATTGTGCAACTTTATAGAGTGGTTCTACTTTCTGGTATTTTGAAGGAAAATTTTAACTATAATTACAATAGTTCATAATTATATAATCCTTTATCGTGCCTCCACTCCACTGTCTATTTGGAAAAATGATAAAAGCACAAACATTAAGCCTTTCCCCACAGAGAAAGTTTGCACACCTTGATCATTTTACTTTTCAGTTGCAGTTCTGTTGACCTGTCTCATATGGGCATCTTCAGAATGACTTGAACAGTCTGTGTTCCTTGTTACTAAAACTTATTTTTTGGTCCTAACAATAGTGAATTTGAGTAATGTTTAGATCCAAGAACCTGAACAGCTCTATAATTAAAATAGAGAATGGAGGAACACTCAAGGCTGACTCCCACATCATCATCATCATCATCATCATCATCATCATCATCATTTTGAAATGTGAACCTACACCATCTTAAATATACAATTGAAAATGAAAAGAGTGACCAACACAAACAGGGTAGTACCTGTGTTTGCAAAATGAAAATACAGAAATTCAATATATAAACAGGATGGACCATAGTCCCTCACCAAGTGGAACTTCCATTGCAAGTGTTTTGTAACATGCAGAAGGCTCCTCATTTTTGTTGATTAACAATTTGATCATCTTTTTTCTATAGCTTTGGACCTAAAGAGGATCTCTGCCCATCCCACACACAAATAAAGTTTATATGGACTGGCTAATCCTTGAGGTCCATTATTAACAAAACTAACTTCCTAAACTGTTGAAGGCCCAAAGGTGAAACAGCTCAGCAGCCATTTTATTTCCTGCATTAAAAAGCACTTGCAAATAGTATGTCAGGAATGCCTAGTAATTCCTAAGATGATACAATGGAATGTTCCTGTCTCCCCTGAAAACTCTTAATTCTGATACCAGTGAATGATAGTAACATGATACAACCTGACTAGGGAAAGTGAATTTTATGAAGACTAATTGTTGTTAATATTTAACCTAACTCAAAGATAATGGCTGGGTTTGGATGTTCAGTGGGAGAAGATGCCACAGTGACTTCTTTTTCGCACTTCTGCATGTGCCAGATGCATAGTAAATAGTTTTTCTCATTACACGCAGGACTTCCTGTCCCATCTAAAACCAGCAAGATGTGCAGCAGAGCAGGAGCTGCAAAACCACCGTGAAATTCATAGGTGTTGAAGGTTCTGAGTTGGTTTCAAGGCCACCACTGCCATGTAGCTCACCAGGCAGTGGGTAATCGCTCAAGCAAAGGAAACCACCATAGCTTTTTGTTCCACTTGATCGTCCAAACTCAGCTATTTACTAACACTTCTCACACACCTTTCTTAAAGGATCCTGTCGTTTAAGAAATGGGACTGTAGCAATCTACACAAATCATTCAGAAAAAGGAACAAAATTGTAGTAGGGGTTGAAATCACAATTCCATATGAATACTACTTTTTTGAAATACGAGCAACTAAAATGCACCTCCTAAAAACACAAATTCAATCTTCGAACATTACAAAAGATCTTTAGATTTTTAAAATTGAACACAAAGGTTAAGCACCCTGCCAAAGAACTGAGCTCATGACAAATAATAAGAAACATGGGGCCACTTGGAAAGAAGCAAAACATGTTCATAATGAACACAGCTGTCATGTTCAGTTTGCCCTCATTTGTTTTGCATGCAGATTTCATCATACCGTATTTGAGCTCACAGATCTGAATGTCTGTTTTCTTCAGCTTCTCACAGATTTTAGACACAGGAACATGAGCGCTCATTGGACGGCTTACTTCACTAAGTATCTTGGTAGCTGCATCGCTTGTGGCCCCAATGTAATAACACTACAGGGGGGAAAGGAGCCATATTGTCAACAGCAATTCAGTGTGGTTTGGGCGAGAGTTTTCCCTCCCCACTTCCCCAAGCCATCACAGCTGGACTCATTGAAACCTACATATTTGAGACAAGAGAAAGATTGAGGGAATGACATACCAAGCGGTTTTCTTTTCCTTTTGTATTCTTGCAACTGTTGACTAATTCATCCTCTATAGAAGCCATGGAGAAATCAGAATGCTTTTCTTTTAAAGATTTGTAAAATCTTCCCAAGAAATTTTCACATACTATAATGAAACAAAACAAAAGCATGCACATATTCAATGCATAAATCAAACAGATGGTTCTAAAAAAAAATCAAGCTCCCTGTGAAAAAAATGAAAGTGGTTAAAATGAATGTGGTTTAATTTTTCATTTCCTTACATATGAAATGAATTGGGATTACTATTGTTTTAAGTGGAAGTTTTTCTTCCTGGAACTGGATGACCATCTTTGTGCCATATGCACATTGGGGATGGTCTCATTTCTATGCCTCTTGTGTAGGCACTGTAGCCAAAGCTGGTGTTAGGAATTGGCCTACTAGGGCTGAAATCCAAAATCTTCATTTAGTGCCCCAAATCTCTGGGAGGTCAAGTGCCCTCCCACCTTGCTATCCATGGAAACTTTCAGACATAAAATGTTAGGGACCCTGATTATCACTGTTGCATCCGATGCCCATGGATTACCAAGCTTTTTGCTTCTCCTTTTGCTGTCCTCCCAACTTTCCTATCAGACTTTTTTCCTGAAATCAAGTACTCTTCTCCCACTCTCCATGAATTCCTTTTTACAAATTTGGGTATCTTTAGATGACACGGTCATTTAAAGACATGCGTAGAAAAATATTTTAGTGTGTATGTAAATTAGCATATGCAAATATGCACTTTTGCCTGGCTGTGTATCTGAACTCTAGATCTGTTTGGAACCTAGCACCACTGTGGCTGTAGTTCACAACTGCAAGATTGTCCTGGGGAAACACAAGCACCTTTTTCTCTTGGACAGCTATTATGGGAGCCTAGCTCCATGAACTTTATAGGGCAGTGATGGCTGGTTGATAACTCAATGAAATGGAGTTTCGCCCATTACTGGCTGTTCTAATTGCTGGAATGAATGAAAGAGGTGTCCGAAGACACAAGAACAAAAGACTGGCATGGAAGAATCTACAGAATATATTTCTTTCAGTGCTACGGTGAAGGGTGCAGTATACGCCTCTTTGTTTATTGCCTTTTCTACTTGAAGGCCTTCAAAGTAGCTTATACACTGCCAAAAAAAATTAGGAGATTCCCATGTTCATAAATTGGTGACACTGCTGGGAGAAGCACTGGAGATGCAGTGAGATACTCAGATGCACTGAAATACTCTGATTCTTCTGCCACCACACAGATTAGTCTCTTCTAAAAATAATTGTAAAATAAAAGTATTCAATTTCTAATGGGTAATGGTTCAAAGCATTTCCCCAAATATGCATCCCTGTGATGTAATATTGGAAGACACATTAACTCTTCCCATATTGCAGGCCAAAGGGTAACTCAAACAGTATTAGGAAAACTCATATTTTTTCCAGCTCTAATGCTTTCTGTGGTTCTAGGGAAAGTGTGAATCTGCTTCAGTATTTGTTTCCATGCCTGTATATTAACCCAGCAGGAGCAACACCAATATTTCACACTAAAATAGAGATTATTTATTTCCATTAGAAGTTGTCAAGGAGAGTATCACCAAGAAAGTGAGTACTTTGTGGAGGCAGTAACTCAGTTTCACAATACTTATTTATTTCATTTTTAAAATCTCCCAATAGCTGAGCATCTCTGGCAGTTAATGAAAGATAAAATTAAACCAATGTTAAACACACACACAAACATTAATTTCAAACAATAAAACCATAATAGCAATTCAATTGCTATGATTCAGCATAGAAGCATAGCAGTAGTATGAAATAAAACTGAATATATATAAAAACAAAGTTAAACTATTCAAATACTGGGAAAATAAAAGGTCCTCACCTAGCACCTAAAAGAATACAAAGTAGGTGCCAGGCATGCCTCTTTGAGGAGCTCATTCCAGAATTGGGTTGCAACAACCAAAAAGTAATGCAGTGTTGTCATTTACCAATTTTAATGAAGCAAACAGTATCAGTGCATAATTTTATTGAGGATTTTCTCATTTTCCTAACTTTTATATTATAGCTGTTTGTTCTGGCTTGAAAAGAGGCAACCTTTGGTATTGTCGCTACAAGTCATAATTAACTGTCACCTGTGCAGTCAGGCAAATATAACACCAACTTGCCAGGACTTGATGCCTGGCCTTATCTACATCTATTGGCTTGTTGATCTCTAGTGACTGAATCTCGTTAACTTCAATTGTTCAAGTCACCTATGCTGTCTCAGCTTTCATCTTTTTACTTTTTCATCTCACTGGCCAAAACAGGTTCTTTTTTCCCTGCCTTCTACTTTCCCAGCTTTATATCCATCATCTTCACTGTTTACTATGTTGCTGTTATCAAAACTAGAGATTCAATTGTTTATTAAAGATCTAGGTCTAACTTACCTCTGGCAATAAAGTTTACTGCAAAGTCATTATGCTACTAAGCAGTCTCTTAACAGGCATTAAAATGTGGTTTGTTTTTTTTTAAATGTGGTGCCCTTATGCCACCTACAGGAAATACCATAGTATTTCAATGAATGGTCAGAATACTGTAGCTGCCCTATTGACTAGGCCTAGTTAAAAAGAACATGAGACCCTCATGCTACAACGTCAATGGCCCCTGGCCCATTTCCAGGTAGAAGTCAAAGTGGCAGTTATGACCTACAAGGCCCTGAGTGGGACATACCTGACAGGCCTATATTCTCCTTTCTGAATTTGCTCAAGTTTTAAAAACTTCAGATGCTAACATCTGGTATGCCTTTGGTGAGAAGTTGAGAGGACATTCCTGGTATCCTTCCAAGTTCTGGAACATTTTACCAAAGGAAGTCTAACACTGTTGAAAAATTACCTTCTTTTGGTAGGCAAAGGCCTCCAAATAGGCCCTTGGATTTATAAGCTGAGTCAGGTTATAGCCTACAACTCACATTTTTCCTTATCACTGGACATGCTGGTGGCTAGGGCTGATAAAAGTTGTAGGCTGAAATGTCAGGAGAGCCAGATGTTGCCCGCCCCCACTTTAAGATATCCGAAACGTCTTTGTTGTTTTTGCTTTGTATTGTTACAACCATGTGATTAATCTGAACAATCTTTTAAGGATTCCTTCAACCCTGTGGTTGTAATTGAATAATGCATCAAATCTGTTGGGCAAGTTTAGCTTGGCAGATTCCCTAATGTCATGGTTGTTAACTGAATGGCAAAAGCCCTCAGAGACGGCCAAAGCAGACTGTTCTAGAAAGCTTACTTTTCCTCTCCTCTCCTGAATGGATGCACCTAATCCAAAGGTCTGTGAGGATAATAGAAGCAAGTTAAGTCTGTAGTTTGGTCAGTCTGTACTGGATCTGGATCTGAAAAACAGGCAAAGAGCTGATTTTGCTCTCTGCAGGAAACATGAGGGCAGTTTGCATCCCCCTGCCTATCCGATGGGAAGCAGGATAAATGTTTTATCCTAGAAAATTGGTAACCCCATTCTAAGTGAATCCAGAGTAAGTGCTGAAACTCCTGAAACTTGTTACTTTTGGGATGCACATACCTAATAGTACTTTTTAAAGCACCATCTTGAGCACCAGTATGTGGAAAAATGGAATACCTATTTAACTAAAGCTTTGCCTAGCTATGTATTAAAGCATCAGTGATTTCTAGCCATGAATATCCTTTCCTTCCATGAAGAAGATATTCCACTGATTATATAGATTTTTTTAGCAAATTCTAGATGAAAGACCTATCACCCAAATAAACTTACCATTGTATGTTATATTGGTACTGAAAACCAAAGTATTTTCTTTCAGCTGAATGTTTCAGCTCCCAATTCCTAGATTGGAATTGCTCAACCTTAAGCATATTTACTCAGAAGTTTTAATTTATTCAGTAAAGAGCTAACATTGTAGTATGTTTATGATTGCAAACTCAATAATGAATCCATCCTGTGTCTTTCAAAAGGACCTTTCCAACAAGTGCAACTTTCTCATGGGCTTTCTTTCTCTTCAGAGTATTTCTGTTTTTCTTCCAACCATGCACAAAAGTCATGTGAAGAAACGATAGATCAGTTTGATGAACCTGGGCAAAATCCCTTGAATGGTCCTTTCATGTGTCCCAAAGCCTTCTTGCTCCTTAAGGAAATCAGAGACATTTGGGCATGCATGTGACATCCCAACTTGGCATGTTCTCCAATTTTTCACTTTCTTTTTTCAGGGAGCAGGTGACTTTCCTCCAGCTTATCCAGATAACCTGATTTATGGCAAAACAAACAAACAAACAGAGTCCTTGAAACACACAGTGTTTACTTTGGTTCTTGGGTGATAAAGAACCAGGTCTTCTTTTGGATCCAATTACAGGAAAGTGGAAATGGCTGGTGATTGATTTTGCCACAGCTGAATGAGAGCCTGATACCATTGTGCAGACCTGTCATTCCCCATTTACCCCTTCAGCAGAATTGGATACTGTCAAAAGCTCAGGAAAATATGGCTCACTAAATTATGCTGTGGTGTTTTTGGTTGAAATACTTCACTGAAGGTCTTGGTTTCAAACATTGCAGTTTATTGTGCTGGTTTCTTGAGTCTAGAGGTGGGTTTTCCTCTGGCTTCCCAATCTCCCCTCTGCTGAGTTATGTTGATGTCTAGTCAGTCTATGAAAAACATACTCTCAAAGAGTAGGCTGAAATCCTACTGACTTCTGCTCTCAGTTCATATATAAACAAAAAGTCGTTAGCCTCACAAAGCAGCCTTTTATTCTATTTTCACCATAACCCTTTGCTGGGGTGCAAAATTGTTTGTATCTCCAGCCCCTATGGCATATAACTTTTGGAATAGGCACTAATAGGGAATGGCATGCTATTAGTTTGCACATCTAATCTGACATGGTTCAAATCTAATTTTACTGTGCAGAGCTATTTAAAATCCCACTCCATGCTTTTCTAAGGTGCTCTGAATTGAATTTCGAGCATGGTCAATTTTATCCTGATCTCACTCTATGTACCACTCTTGGAAAAAACATGTTGACCACAGCAAGTGAACAGCAGGACTATCCTTCACGTACTATGCTGAACTTATAAGCATGTGTGGACTGGAGAAGTAAAGTTAAAATACAGTTTATAACAGAAGATTTGAATCTCTTCCTCAAGGAGTTAATTTAGGGACTTGGGTTCATACACTGAAGGAACAGACTGGAGATCCTTAAACTTCAGGCAAAACAGGAGGACACGGTGGTGCAGTTACACGGGAGTACCACAGCGAAGGCTGCATGTCATGCACTTATTAATCACAGGATCCTAATTATAGTAGCACAAGTTAAGCCGTTCCTCGATCAGAGCAGCAAACGGTGCAGCAAGGCAAGCAGGTCCCTCACCTTCACACTGAGCTTCTGTGCCCTTTGCAGGATTAAACGCACAAAGTACTCTGGGACCCAGGCAAACCGCGACGACAGTCAGGGCCGCTAAAGGGTGATAGTACAACTGGCGACGAGGCCAAGATCGCAGGAACATGGTTGCACAGAACACGGTCAGCACCGGCTCGAGAGACCGACTCGGCCTGGAAGGGATTGGGCGCAAGCTCTGACAAAGCCACGCCCTTGCCATAGCGGCGAAGGGAGGGGAAATCTGCCTCGGTTGCTGCGCTCAGGGATGTCATGCGACGCTCTAGTCTGATAGGTTGTTCTCTAGCGTTTTTTCTGGTTGAGAAGAAGGCGGGGAAATGAGCGTGCCGATTGGCTGTTGGGAAGGAACGCGCTGCCTTGAGATGCATTATGGGCCAGAAGGCGCCTGGTCTTGAGGCTGCCTGGCCGGGAGTGGGTGGGACGCGGGGGGCGGGGAGGAGGAGCGTGCGAGAGGGACTGGCGCTTTGATGGCGGCCATCGGGATCCATTTGGGCAGCACGTGTGCTTGTGCTGCAGTGTATAAGGTGTGACTGGGGCTGCTCTTTTCCGTAGAGATGGGGAAGTTTATTTCTGGGTGGGGGTTACTGGGTAAAAGCTGCCTGCTGAGTGAGGTAGTGTGGTTCAGTGGTTAAAGCAGCTGGGTGGTACTTTGGCGTACGAGGTAGCCCGAAGCCTTTATATTTTAAGCCTTGCCCCGCGGAACAAAGTGATAGAGTAAGCTGCAAGCAGTCCCTGCTCCTGTGTTTAGGGAAAAAAAATCCCGGCAAGATTATAAAAGGACAAAGGACTGGGCCCCAAAAGGCTAGTTTTCTATTGTAGAAATATGTAGAATTCATATTCTTTTGTATGGCAGCCCCCGCCCCCCACATGATGCGCCTCCCCGCAGCATCCGAGCCTGTACGGGCCCTTCTGTCTTCGCGACTCTTGCTGCATTCTTTTGCAGAGTTTCGCTATAGCTCAGTGCATTTAAAGAACAAGAACAATCTTTGCTGGTCTGTTCCGTTTATTTTGCCTGCAGTTGAGTGTTGCCCAATCTGTGTAACCTCTGCATTTTTAAAAACAATTTGTCTGGAGGCGAACTTCAGGTTTCACTTGTGTGTTTTTTGTCAGGGAGGCAGCTGTGTTGGAGTACAACTCTCATAATGTTGGGAATTACAGGAAGTGTAGCCCAAATATATGTGGAGGGAAGGCTGGATTAAGGTTTAACTTCTGTTTGCAAGCATAGCTGAAGTAAACAACATTCTCCTTCAGAAGGAAAAAATATGAAAAATCAGACTAGAACAAATGTTTAAACTGAAATATTTGAAATCGGAATGCAGAGATCCATGATTTATGCCAGCCTTTTGGTGGGGAGATTCACTTGTTTGGAGGGACCTTCAGTTGGCTTGTTTTTCATTCATTTATTAGACTGATGTATCACCTTTCACTAATAAAACAGGTTTTGAATAAATACAGAGGAAAATATACTTACCCCCAATCATAATTAATATAACAGTGAAGGTACTGACTGGCTTTGCATGACACAGAAGGGGCATCCCAATAGGAAGGTTAGTTTGTTAAGTGAACAGCGTCTCTGCCCCCTCTGGTTTCCCTTGGAATATTTTATAAGCTGGGTTGGCCTGAGTAGTCATAACTGCAGGGTTTAAGAAACCCACAATGACTTAACATATTGTTTAAGCCTGCATAACCCAGTAAAGTCAAGCCAAAAATTGCCAAAAGCTTGGCAAGAGTGGCATACAAGTGTTGGTACTCTGGCATCCTCACAGCGCCTGTTTCTCAAGCCTCACTTGGGGCTTCAGATAGAGGAGATGTGTGGCAGGGGAAGGACCTTCTCAGCTTTGCTCCCTCAGAAGGAAGCAGCAGGCTCTTCATGTTTGTGCCCTCCACCTGACTTGGAAAATTTTTGTTAGTTGGGTTAGGGGGGAAATTCTGCATGTCAGTTCATCCCCCTTTAACAAAGGCTGTGATTTCTTATTTTATCTAATGCAAGGCTGATTGCCGGCATTGTGGATGGGGGAACAACTTTAGTTTGCAGTGGGGAGCTTCTGAGGGTCATGTATAAAATTCCTCATGCAGACAAAAGAAAGCAGTTAATGTATCCACACAACTCCATTTTTTACTTGAATAATATTTTGCTGAGGTAGAGTCTTTGAAACAAAGCCCTCAGATACCAGCTGAAGGGTTGTGTGTGCATGTGTGCATACATACATGAAATCTCTTTGGAAGATTACATTGGGATTATATTATTAATTTCTGTCTACATGTCTTGTTACCTTTATTATGCTTTTATTCTTGTAATTATTTTTCCTGTGGCAATAGGGAAAGATCCTTTCCAGATCACTCTGAGATAGTGCAACAGTAATATTTATTAGTTTAAGAATCATATGTACACTTACTTGTGAGTAAGCCATATTGAATCTTGTGAGATCTACTTCTGAGTAAACATGCATAGGATTTCACAATTGGGTGTATTTTCTGTATAATTAATTGGTTTCAGAATACCATATTAAAAGTAATCAGTACATATGAAAGTAGAATTTTCTTTACTTTCCATGTTGGACCAGGGCCTGTCTAGCAGCTTCCAGTCCAGGAACAGAATCTAGCTTTTGCAAGACAGAATGTTTAATTCATGGTTGGAGAACTGTTGGCTCTCCAGATGTTGTTGTATTACAACTCCCATCATCCCTTATCACATTGGCTGGGATTCATAGGAGTTGGGATCCAGCAACACCTGAAAAGCCACAGATTACCTGTCCCTGGTTTAAATGATCCTATGAAGAATAAGTGCTTTTCAGGGAATTGCAAGGTGCATAAACTTTGCTACATTCATGTGTCGGTAACTTCTTAACTGATATTTGTACTCAGCATATATTTTGATTTTCCTCAGGATGGCCGTGCAGATGTTGTTGCCAATGACGCAGGTGACAGAGTCACTCCTGCTGTTGTTGCATTTTCAGAGAATGAAGAGGTAATTTGTCTTTCCCCACAGATGTTTGAAAAAGAAAAAATGGTGTTGTCTTTATAGTTTTATAAGAAATCAAGCAATAAAGATAGTGTAAAATTCTTCGTTTTGCAGGTTGTTGGTCTGGCAGCAAAACAAAATAGAGTGAGGAATCTTTCAAACACTGTCGTGAAAGTGAAGCAAATTCTTGGAAGAAGGTATGGGAAAGAAGAGCACATTTCATTTTGGGATTTAGTGTAGACTTAATTTGCAGAATATACTTATTAAATAAAAGCTGTTATTTTCAAGTGATGTAAGATGTTCAATTCTAAAAAATCCTGTCTGTTGAAGCATAGTTAATAACCAGCTATTTTCTGGATAGGCCTGGTAAGTATAAAAGAAATGGTCACTGGTTTTCTGGAAGTGGTTTATTTTGTTTTAGTTTTGTTTGTATTTTCCCAGTATTAATAAATAACAAGTCAATAAGTTGTTATGCTTAAACAAGGGACTGAAGCAAAACTTCATGAAGCGTGATTCCCATACAGTAGATGTATATGTAATAAACTGCTCTTTTCCTATAACCTTTTGACGCATCTGTCCATTTTGCTTGCTTTCACAGCTCTGGAGACCCAAAGGCTGAGAAGTATATTGCAGAAAGTAAATGTTCAGTAAGTAAGAGTCTACTTCATAGTTTTCTCCCATAAGCAAGAATGGGTTTCCTTATATTCTTGGCATCCTTTCTTATAATATTACAAACTTCTTGTTCTTAGAGTTGTTCCATTGCTGGATGGAATGGAATGCAGTTCCATTCGCAGAATGCTGCCTGCGAATGAGTCATGTTCTTGAGAAAATGTGTGCTATTTAGTAGGACTTGTTTTATACACTGAACTAGTAGAGGGTTGAAATGTACCACTAGTGGGGAGATAAGGCTTATCTAATCAGCTCTTTAATTTATAGGATCAAAAACAATTACGCTAGTAAACCAAATACATTTTTTTTCAAGCATACGCCCCCCAATGTGTCACACTCCCAACAGCATCTGAGTGTGGCCCTTCTGCTCTGTCAGGTCTCTTGCTGCATTACTTTGCAGAGTGTTGCACTAGAGCTGAGTACATTTAAAGAACACAAACAATCTCAGGTGGCCTGTTCCGTTTGTTTTGCCCGAAGTTTGGTGTGCTGCACAGTCCACAAAACCAACTCTAGGACAAAACCTTGAAAACTGACACACAAGTAGGAACAATGAGTATTAATTGCTGCTGGCTTTTTGACATTCAGATACTTAATGGAATAGGCAACTTTTGCCTGTTTTTGCCAAATGCTGAACCTTTCTTGGGTGGAAGTTCCTGATTGGGAGCACTGCATAAATAGCCTGTTTACAGACAGAAAATGTTCACCTCATGTCCTTTTAATGTCAAGAAGTGGTGTGGATAGTTGAGTAGTTCACAAAAAGAGATGGTGTCTAGTATAATAGGCCAAGACCATTGAGGGTCATGAAACTCTTAAGGGTGTGTATGTGTGTGTGTTTTCTTGGTGTTCATTGTGGATTCTTGTAGCTTATGTGCTGTTATGTTTCTGGTCTGCATGCTGTAAAGGGACTCTCCCGAGTGCAGTCCTATTGATTGTGTCTTTAACAGTTAGAAGCCCCTTGATCTTGGAGGCTTCTACTCAGCCAGTGCAGGATAGGAAGAACAGTGGAGGTGAGCCTTGCCTCCCCGTCCTTCGGCCCTGCACGTTTCGCTAGATGGGACTTTTTAACCTGTCTAGCAGTGCTGCTTCAGAGTTGGGGTTGAGGGGAGGAAGCTGAAAGAGGCTCTGGATATCTTGTATCCTCATTTTTCCTGTTTTTCTCCCTGCCGTGCTCCCATTTCCTCTTCTCCAAGGACGTATTCCCAGCCTTGGAGAGCAGCCCCCGTAGTTCTTTCTGCAGCAGCTGGGGAGGGGTCAGGGGAGGGAGGTTGGAGCATTGTCGTTGACCTCAGATCTGGGAATCTGATCTTTCCTATGGCCCCCTCAGATGCTGTCTCAGATGCACCTCCTCCCTTTATTATGGAAACCCATTGATATTTTTGAGCCAAATGCTAGAGTGTAGGTGCATTGTAAATATTCTTTTTGGAGAAAAAAACTTGCATGAACTTTAATTATAGATAAGCTGAGAGAAAGTTCTATTTGTATGTGTTTTCATTTGTAGGTCATTGAAAAGAATGGAAAACTGAATTATGAAATAGATGGTAAACATATTTCCCCAGAAGATGTTGCAAAATTGATCTTCAGTAAAATGAAAGGTAAAATACTGAAGTGTACTGTTCCCCCTCCCCCCACTGCCACTCTTGAAAAAGTGTTTCTATAAATTGAATTTGGTTTTACTCACTATCTTGTTTTTTCATATGTAGAAACTGCTCAGTCTGCTTTGGGTTCAGATGTCAATGACACTGTTATTACAGTACCATTTGATTTTGGAGAATACCAGAAGAATGCCCTTGGGTGAGAATACAGTTTTCAGAGAGATTTTTTAAAACATAGTTTGCATAAGATACTCTGAGCATAATTTCAGGAATCAAAAAAATCTGAACTACCAAGTAGAGTATTTTCCCTGGACTGGAATACCTGGTTTTAAAATCCCAGATTCACCATAAATACATTGGGTGGTCTAGAATGTTCGGTATTTCTTAACAGCAATTCTTCTATAAAATTGGAAAATGTTCCCTGGCACACTTCATTTTGGCCTGTTCATACCTGCAGTGGAGGAAATTTTTACATAGCCATTTCATGGTAGGTAATTCTGATGCTGCATCCTAGGAAGGAACTGATATTGGAAACCCTGCTGGGAACTGGTGTGTTGGGCAAAATTTGGGTGATGAAACATTTAGAGGATTGGTTACCCTGATTTTCAAGCTAATAGTAGGTTTGGCATTTGGTCGAACAAGCATCCATTCCTCCCACTTTCTTCCAGTGCTGCTTGAAGCATATCCTCTTATCCTGATGCATGGCAAGATCTTGTTTTATGATCTTATATGAAGGAAGTGCAGATTTATTGTAATTGATGAAACTCTTCTGCTTCAATGTTAAAATATTTTATATTAATTTAAACATTTCTCAATATTTTATGCTGCAACTCCTCCCTTGTGAAGACATTTATGTGGTTTAGAAAATAAAATATTGTTGACTTACTTAAGATGTGTCTTACATTGGTGTAACAACATGATAATAAAAATGTCTCTACCAATACAAGTGAATATTTAGGTTTGCTACTGCCATTAAAAGTCACTAGTTTGATTCTGCTCACTAAAAATCATATCTTTATCATAGGGAAGCTGCTGTGGCAGCTGGACTTAATGTTCTTAGGCTAATTCATGAACCTTCTGCTGCTCTGCTGGCTTATGGAATTGGACAAGATTCACCCAGTGGAAAAAGGTAATACTGTACAACTTGTTTCACATTTTAAGCAACATTTTTGCAATGAAATCCTAAATGTGGTTACTTAGAACTATGGCTTAATGGAACTCCTTCCTTAGTGTGATCAATATTGCAGCTTTGGTATTAACAGTGTGACATAGATAGGTATGATGGGTATGAGTGAACACTTGCATGTTGGATCTTGCCCATTGTGGGTGACAAAATGTAGCAGGTATGGGAAAGCTGGTTGGGCCATGAAAGTGATAAATCCTCCTTACAAGTTGGAATAGTTCGGGCTCACCTGAAATAGGTAATAGTAAGAGCACTGTTTAAGAAGCCCTCCCTGAATCCAGAAGATCTGAACTATTTTAGGTTAGTTATGCCAATTCCTTTCCTAACCAAGGTCCTTGAGCAGGTGCTTGCAGACCAGATTCAGGCACTCTTGGATGAGAGTGATGTTCTGATTTCATTTCAATCAGGGTTCAGTTCTGCTTTTGGTACTAAGACTGCCTTGGATACCTTGTACAGTGGTACCTTGGCTCACAAATTCAATCCGTTCCAGGACTCTGGTCATGACCCAAATTGGTCGTGAGCCAAGTTAAATTTCCCAATAAGGTTCAGTGTAAATAAGGTTAATCTGTTCTGTAACCATTTTTTAAATCAGAAAAATGCGAAGCAAAGTGACAACAAAGATAGCGGCCATCCCCCCCCCCCCCCGCCACCAGCACAAGCACGGCCATCTCCCCGCCCCCACCCCCAGTATGACCAAAATCGCACCAGTCATCCCGGCATGTGCCCATCATCCCGGTGCGCTAGGGGGTGGTGGGGAGAGACGGGTGTGATCACGGGTGCACTGTGGGAGGAAGAAATGAGCGCAAACGGCACTCTGGGGGAGGGAGAGATGGGCGCGATCTCAGCCATCTCCCCACTCGGGTGGGTTGGGGAGATGGCCGCGATTGTGCTCCCTCCCAGCTGCTGCAGAAAGAACTATGGGGGCTGCAGTTCCCTTTGTGCAGGGAAGGCGTGCCTGATCAGAGGCGCGCTCCTGCAGGAAAGACAGGCGGAATCTTGGCCATCTCCCCTGCAGCTCTGCTTTGCTGCTCTCGTCTTTCCTGCAGCAGTGCGCCTCTGATCACGCATGCCTTCTCTGTACGAACGGAACTGCGATCGTGGCCATCTCCCCACTCGGGGGGTGGAGGGGGAGATGGCTGTGATCTTGGTCGCCACCCAGAGTGGTTCGTGACCCAATTTGTTTGTGAACCAAGCCACTTGGGAGCCAAGGTACCATTGTATCAGGAAAGAGATGGGGGAGTGTCTGCCTCTTAATACTGTTTGATATCTCAGCAGTGTTTGATACCATCAGTTAGGATATCCTTCTGGAGTAGGAGGCATCTGGATGGTCCACTTCCACTTGGACATTCAATTCCAGAAGCTGGTGCTTTGTGGGATATGGACTGCATGGAATCTTCAGTGTGCAGTTCTGCCAAAAGGATTCCATCCCCCATGTTGTTTAACTTACATGTAAATGCAGCATGGGGGCATCTGGAGTTTTGTCAAAATGCTGTGACTTGTAAGTCTTCCTTTTCATCTCAGGCAGTGGTGGATGTGCTAAACTGATGTATGAGAGTCTGTTGAGTGGTTTCTCTGTCCTGTTGGAGTATTGCCAGCTCTGGAGGGGGTCACACTGTCCCTGGAGGAGCAGATGCAAATTTTGTAAAGTTTCTAGCCAGGAAACAGGGTACATAAAGCTTTATGCTGGCCTGTATCTTGGCTAGAAACTGTGTCATCTTATTAGTATAACTCTACAGTGTCAGTTTTGTCTGAGGATGGTCTTCATGTGGGGCTCTGCTCCTGGCCACGGTAGGGTTCTGGAATGAGTATGAAAGTGATACAAAACGAGTGCAGTGGAGATGCAGTTTACCTCCACAAGTTTTCTTCCGCTGTACACACAGAATCGTCTGGGGAAATGTCTGCTTTGAGTTTCAATGTTTCTTATTTATGTGGCAGAAGGGGGAAGCGAAACCAAAAGCATTTGCCGAGGTTCAGGTTAGAATTCTCTTAACAGTTTGCTTCTCATGTTATGAAAGGGGGAGACATTTTTCCCTTCTGCTAACACGAGAACTCATAAAGCTGGTTGACTTGAGATTCCTTCCTTCTTCACACAATGCATAACTAAATTGTGATTTCTACTACCACAGGATGCAGTGATGGCCACCAATTTGGGATTTTTAAAGGGGGATTAGACAGATTCATGGAGAATAAAGTCCTCAGTAGCTGCTGTTCCTTATGGCTATATACTTCCTTCAGTATCAAAAGCAATATGATCATGTATTTCAGTTGCTAAGAATATGGGTGGAATGGTGCTGTTGCACTCTTGACCTGCCAGTGGTTGGCCACTGTGTGAACAGAAAACTAGACTAGATGGACTATTGGTCTGATCCACCATGGTGGTTTTTATGGCTCAACTTTTTAAATAAGAAAAACAGTCCTTTGCAGGAGAATTTTAAACTTGGGAATTCTAACAATATCAGTGGCCAAGAGCTGCAGTTTTAGATGTTAACCAATTTCTTCTACTTTTAAATGAAATACAATATCATTGTTATAAACCTCAGCATCTTTAGCTGCACTTCTTAATGGGGTGATAATAGGGGTCAAAGGCATATTGATCTTATTTTTTAATTTAACTCTCTTTTTCTTCATGGAAGCAATGTGTTGGTGTACAAACTTGGCGGGACGTCCCTCTCTATCACAGTTATAGAAGTCAACAGCGGACTGTATCGTGTTCTTTCCACCAACACAGATGACACTATAGGTGGTATCTGTTTCACGGAAGCCTTAGCACAACACTTGGCATCTGAATTTCAGAGGTAAGTATTCTAGAATCTTAAGACCACATGTGGTGGTCTTATGCATGTCTAGATGGAACGGTTAATCGCCTGTGTTATATTCTGGTAGGTTGTCAGCAAAATTTACACTATACAAATTTATACTGTTTGACAATTTTGAAGCATATGTATGCCACAGAAGTGGAGATTGACAAATACTGCACTCAATAGTTTTCTGAAAAAAGATGATTACAGCACATGAGAAAACCAATGTTCTTTCAGCTTGGGAAAAATTCCAATTTTTTTAAAGGGTTGGTTGCTTGTGGTTCAAATGAATTCATTGGGGAAACTTTGTCAAAGGGTCCCCCAACACAGCTTTTCTTAGACCATGAAAGATCAACGTAGGTGGGCAGAATAGTACAATATTTTGAAGTTTCTTGACTTTTGTGGACTTACTGTCATTGTTATGAGTTGGCAAGTCATCTCAACTTACAGCTACCCTAGGAATGAAAACCCTCCGAAAGTCCTGTCTGTGACAGCAATGTGCAGCTCTCCCAAGTTCGAGGCTGTGGCTTCCGTCATAGATTCAATCCATCTCATATGGGGTCTTCCATTTCTTCTTCTGCTTTCCACTTTCCCTAGTATGATTGTCTTCTCCAGTGAGTCTTGCCTTCTCATGGTATGTCCGAAGTATGGCAGCCTCACTTTTGTCTTTTTTGCTTCTAGGGAAAGCTCTGGATTGATTTGATCTAGGATCCTCTTGTTTGTCTTTTCAGTCAGGCCATGGTATTCACAAAGCTCTCCTCTAGCACCATATTTTAAATGCATCAATTTTCTTCCTGTCAGATTACTAGCGAGGATGAAAGGTCTTTGATCATTTCTGTCATGTATGATTACACACAGCATGACAATTCATAGCTTGAGCACTTCTAAGTTTAATCATTTTCAGTAGGAGAGTCAAGCACAAAGGTTTATGGTGCAATCCTTTATGCATTTACATAGATAAAAAGTGCTACATTTCTCAGCATCCTTCCTGCCAGTCATGCTGCCTGAAGAATGCTGGGAATTGTAGGACTCTTCTCTCTCTTAGATAAGCTTTGGATTGCATCCTTATTTTTGTGTTCTACTTCATGAAAGTATGTTAAAAGAACTTGCTCTCTTCCCAATAAACTTAAACTCCATTTTCAAAGTCAGTAGCACACAAGATGTTAACTTGTAGGAGCCAGTACTAATCCAAGTATTACAGAGCATTACAGAGTAGTAGGGTATCTCTGATTCTTAATTAGTCCTTTTTTAATGCAGGTCTTATAAGTACGATGTAAGAGGAAACCCCAGGGCCATGATGAAGCTAATGAATAGTGCTGAAGTTGCAAAGCATTCCTTATCTACACTGGGAAGTGCAAATTGCTTTGTTGACTCACTATATGATGGTCTGGATTTTGATTGTAATGTTTCCAGGTAAGTCTAACTATTACAAAATCCCTGGAGGAGGAGGAGCTGCTGTGGCTTTGCTTTTTTGAGGAAACCTTTCAATATCTAGGATAGCAAGCTTAGCTCTTGTACTGTCTGCTTCTGTTAGCTGAACTGCAGAAGATATGGAAATGTGGCAGCATCTAACCCAGTCTTTTCTTACCTGGTGCCTTCCATATGTTTTGGATTGCAACTCCCAGTATTCCTGACCATTAGCCATGCTAGCTGGAGTGAATGAAAGCTATAGTCCAAAACACCTGGATGGTACTGGATTGGATTGGGCTGATCTAGACTACATGAAATACAGAAACAAAACATGTTCTTCGTGGTGTCAAAGGGAAACACTCTTACTTGAACCCAGTGCATTTCAGACATAAAGACTTCCTTGTTGAAACAATCTTACAAAAAAGTGGAGAGGGTGAAAATAAGCTAAACCAGCTTCTTAAAGGTAGGGGCTATCTTTCATATCCTATCAAGGCCAATATTATAGGATTGCTCCTGATGGAGATTTTGTTTTCTGAAATGCAGTGGTTTCAGACAAAGAACTTTCCGTGTGAACGGGCGCGTTGTCATGAAGAAGCAACACACCTGCGGTCAGTTTTCCCCGCCTTTTTTCTTTAATTGCTTATCTTAAATTATGCAGAGTGGTTGCATAAGATGCTGCCTTTATGGTTTCACCTTTTTTTGTGTACTCGATCAATAAAATTCCCTTTGAGTCCCAAAACACAGTGGCCATGATTTTCCAGACGATGGAGTGACTTTTAATTTCTTCGGAGGGTCAGCACCTTTTTTATGCCACTGCATGGACTCCTGCTTGCTTTCAGGGTCATGGTGATGATCCCAAGTTTCATCTCATGTAACAATCCAGTCGAAAATACTCAATGGATCTTCGCCACAGAGCTCTAAAAACTCCCTACAGCACTCGACTCGTACTTGTTTCTGAGGCACCATGAGCATTCGCAGCACCCATCTTGCACAGACCTTTGAAAGGTTAAGATGGTCATGAAAAATAGTAAATATGGTACCAATGGATAGGTCTGTCATCTCTGCTAACATTTTGATTTTTATTCGGGCATCTTCCAATACAAGTTTCTCAATTTTTTTCACATTTTCTTTCGCAGTGACAGTAACCGACCCACCCGAGCGAGGGTCGTCCTCAGTGCTTTCTCCGCCCCTTTTAAATTCACTTGACCACTTTTGAACAGTAGATAATAAAGGTGCAGAGTCCTGGTAAACGGCCACCTTCTCTTCGTGAATGATTCTTTGACTTTTTCCTTGTTTTGTAAGGAACTTAATCACAGCGCGGTGCTTGATTTTCTTCAACATTTTTGCGTCAGTCATCATGGTCGTCTTTCACTGAGGATTACAAGGGAACTAATGATCACACTTATTTGAAATTTTGCATGTATACCCTCAGATAGTGTCATTAGCTAATGAAATAATTAAATTACCCACATCAGTAGCAAATCAATCCGATACCAAGAATACATTGAATGCCCCTTGTACAAATACATTCTTTTACATTTCATTGAGTTTTAATGCTTCTTTCTGGGTTTTACTGATCTAGACTATGGTAGTAATCTTGTAATTTGCTGAATTTCACAAGACATCTGTAAGCTTGCTTTAACATCACTTGTTTAAATGTCTCTTTAATTGAAATTTCTCCTGAGTTGAGCTAATTATGGGTTGTTGGTGCTGATACTGGCTGCTGTCATAATTGTGCTGCTCCTGATTCTGCTAATTGTTTGTTTATTCTGTTATGGACTATTAGCTGCTGCGGATGGAGGTGGGATGAGGAAATATATATGAATTTGAATATAACCCTAAGCACATTCAATTAAAACATTAGGTTTATAACACGCTGCTACATTACAGCCTCATAGGGTGCAGCTTTTGTTGGAACAACTGCAGCAGGACATGCTTACAGCTGGATTGCCCAATAAATACTTCCTTGAAGAAGAGCAAGTGTGGATTATAAGTGTTCCTTTTTGTGTTTTGCTTTTAAAAATATACAACAGGGCCAGATTTGAACTTTTTTGTGCTGCGCTTTTTAATAAATGTATAGAAGCAATCAAAAGACTACTGCAACAAGTTGGACTTAAAGCAGATGATATCAATAAGGTAACAATGCAAATAATGTCTATTTCTAGGTGATTTTTGATCTTCTCTTCTTTGAAAATTACTTTAGACATATTGAGCATATTTACAAGTGATTGATTGCTTTGGGTTGGATGATGTTTCCAAGGCTTAAAAACCACAGGATGAATGCTGCAGCCAAGTATTGCTATCTAGGCCATCTCCCTTGAGCACCATTTTCAAGCTTGTATTAAGCAAGACTTCCCCATTTTAGACATAATGGATAACTTTGACTTAATATAAGCCAGCAGCTAAGCTCTGTGGTGATGTGCACGGAAAGGGGCCATGGAGTTGTTCTCAGTCCCAGCATTGCACCTGTCCTCAAAAACCGTGATTTATGAAGTCTCAGTTGTCCAAACAATGCAATACATTCACTAAAAGCAACCTGTATAAATAAGCATGTCTTTGCCTTTTAAAACAAGACATATATAAGCATGCTTCATCCTGTATGTCTGAATAGTACTGCTAAGTAAGACTGTGTACTGAGCTGTTGTATAGATAGAATAGACTTATAGATGGCTACTCACCCATGAACATTTCAGGTTAGTAAATACTGTTTTTGGGTGATAGGATAGGGAATGCTCTTTCTGGTTTTCTTCTTTTCCTTTGGTTTGTTGCTCTTTTCCTTGGTTTGTTGTTGGAACAACTGATGTGTCACAAATGAATTGTATAGATTATTTGTGGACTCATAATATTAAACATTTGATATGAGAGACCTCTGTCAGAACAGAGATAAGAGAGTATTGAAACTCCAGTTGTTTTGGTATGTTAAGTGGCGGGGGTGGGGGCAGGGTTGGTATAGAACACTTAGGAACTACTTCCACATTTACTTGTAAGCTACCAAATAGTTCAGAACTAGAAATGCTGACTGCTTTTCCTTATTCATTTGTTAGAGCAAGATTGAGCGATTAATTGCTTCAGCAGCACCAGCCTTTTGGCATCAATGTGCTTATAACAACATAATTTGTTCTGCACTACATTTTTGGTGGCTGGGGACAGAGTTCAATATGGAATCTAAGTACTTTGCCTGAGAACAGGAGGGATTCATATAAGGATCTCATCCCTCCAAATCGTGAATGCATGTGCAGTCTGTATGGGGTTTTTAAGTTAAATTTTCACAATATTCTGTCTGAGTATGATTTCCGAAAGGAAGTCTGAATATTCACTTCTGGGTGTATGCCATTTTTTGTTTATGTTTTCGAAAGTACTGTTCTCAGTTTTGATGTCATTAATATTTTAATGTCTTCTAGGTAGTTCTCTGTGGTGGATCTGCTCGAATCCCAAAACTGCAGCAGTTGATCAAAGAACTTTTCCCTACTGTTGAACTGCTGAATTCTATTCCTCCAGATGAGGTCATTCCCATTGGGGCTGCCATAGAAGCTGGGATTTTGTTAGGAAAAGAGAATACCTTTTTAGATGATGAGATGTTGTCTATTGAATGTTCTGCCAAAGATATATTAGTTAAGGTAAGATTAATAGAGCTGCTGTAGTTGTTACCTTAAAAGCACAAGAGAGTTAACAACTCCATGGGTATATAGAAACAGATTTCTTTCCAATCTGCTCTATTTCTTACTTATCATTCTTTCTTTCTTACTGAGGTGTGTTACATACCTTTCACTATTACTGTATTGTGTTTCTGTGTGTGTGGAAGGGGCATTTAATGTGAGAGTTTCCTCAAAAGCATCCTGGAGTCACTTGGATCCCATTTAAAGGGAGTGGATCAGGAGGAGACTGTCCAAAGGAAAAGGGTCTAAGTGACCCAAACATAATAAAAATGTGTATTTAATGTGCAAACTACCTTATTTCAACACACATCCTTAAGATAGGATGTTAACCATTTTGTTGGAGCAATCCTACAGCCTGTAGAAACACTTCTGGGGAACCATAGGATGCTTTTGAATTCCCAGATCCAAGGTCAGAGATGGCACTTTGACCTTGGAACAGGGGAGCTGCAAGCTATATTTCCCTTCCCTTGTAGTTAGCAAGAGCCATTGCCAGGATCTTTCTGAGGCTGGGAATGCAACCTTAGAGCAGAAAAGGAAAGAAGATGCCAGGATAGAAGGTGTCTTGGGACCTCTTCAACTTCCTTTCTTTCCCCTCCAAAATGCTTTTGCTAATCAGATAGAAGAGCCTATCTAATAAAAATGCAGGACATGAGTCAGGGAGGATTTGCATCTGCCACTCTTTGTGTCCCACCCCTCTGTCCCCCCCCCCCAGCATAGGATAAGCATAAGTCTCCCTAATTCAGAGAATTAACTGTCATTACAAGAGGATTGTGCCTTTAATATATGCCTCTTCCAGGTGGTTTTCAATTGAAGGAAAGTGTGTTGGCCTGGGTTTTTATAAGATCCCATAGGAACTTGCACCCAAATACTCTTTTGCATAGGCATATCCTATAACAGAACCCATAATCCTTCCTTTCATGTTTTCATATTAAATAGAACTTGGTCAAATACTTTAAAAAGCCTTATCCAAAATTATACTTTTTTTTTTTTTACTAAGGGTCAGTCTGTGCATTGTACTATTTTTCTCCCTATAATTGTGGTAAGCAAAGGCACAAAGCAAAGTTTTTGCAAAATACTGATGTTGCAACTCTCTCTCATTTGGTAGGTAGTGGATGAGATGGATGATAAATTCATGGTAGTATTTCCATCAGGAACTCCTTTGCCAGCTCGAAGGCAGCATACTCTACAAGCTCCAGGAAGCAACTCCTCTGTCTGTCTAGAATTATATGAGTCTTTGGAAAAAAGCCCAGTCAAAGAGGATGACAGATTTGCACAGGTAAAAGAAAATTGTTTTTTAACAGCGAAGTCATGTGTGTTTACTTAGAAGTAAGTTCAGCTATGTTCAGTGGGGCATACTTCAAGTTTTGTGTAAAATTGCACCTTGGTAGTTGCATATCTTATTTGTATATTCAGTAGATATTTAAAGCTCATCCTTCTTAAATTCTTGACCTCATAAATGTTGTTTGTAGGTCAGGATTGAGAAATCCAGTTTTTAAAGTTTAGGTTTTTTAAAAGTCAATATAAAACCACTGTGTACAAAGTTATTTTAAAGAAATAATTGAATGGGAAACAACACGGAGTAGCTTTTACTGAACTATCTTTTCAAAAGACAGTGTTTTACTAAACTCTTCCTTTGTTACAGAGTGAACTAATAAGGAGGCTTTGAAACAAGCTTTTAGTAGTATTGTAACATGTAAGGTCTTGATACCAGTCCATTATTGTATATTAGTCTGTGTTCAGGGTTTATCAAGAAACTGTAGGTTATTAAATCAGTCAGAGGAACTAGGGAAAGATCAAATCCTTATAGTGTTTTTTCGATAGAGTTGATATTACATAGGCTGCAAGAATCTTTTAAAATTGGCCTATTTCAGAGGACGCTTTGTCCTCTGTAGTCAGCTTTTGCCCTTTTCCTAAATCACCTTGACATTTTATTGTAGCTGAATTGTAACAGTTTAGTCTTCGTACATGTGTCAGGTGTGTTCCATATTACCAACAGCCTGTCATGCATCATGGTGAATTTGTACAGTGTGGGGCCATCATTTTGAATGTGTGATCCCTGGAAGCCTTGCATGTCTCCAGTCTAATTTTTGGATTATGTAAAGGTTTAACTCACACTTGCCCCGTTTGTATGCCCTGAGCTGGGGTTGCATATGTAACCTGGTGCCCATGGGTGCTACAGATTAAAGAGAGCTGCAGTTGTCTGAACCTGATCAGTCATGTAAAACAAAGTGCTTTTAAATCCAGTCTCTACTACATTTCTAGGTTTTCCAGTGATCCAGCTGGCTAAAATGTATTAGATGTATAAAGTATTTCAATATTTTTCTTTATTTTCGAACAGATTGTACTTCAGGATTTAGATGTAAAGGAAGACGGTCTGCATGATATACTAACTGTTCTTACAATGAAAAGGTATTGAGAAACAAAAATACTACTCAGGTTCAATACATTAATTGCATACAAATTACAAATCCCGAAGAATTTGATGATTTTTCTAGTCCAGAGTGTTGGTAATCATACGTATTTCCAAAATGTTGCAGTGAAAAATCCAAGTAAGATATTTGGGCATGAGGAAACAGCTGTTCTCTTTTTGCTCAGTCCTCCTCTCTTGAAATTGAATACATTTCCCAGACTTTTGAAACATCTGAGACAGCATGGTTCTTCATGCTCCAGTCAGTTGTTAGACATCATTCTTGTAACTGGTGTACTGCTTTCTGGGGTCCCACTTCTCTACACAATCAATTAGGACTGACAGAGTGGACTACACTTTGTAGGCAGCAGCAGTTCTGAGATTTCCCACACCTGTCCGCTGTTGCAAGGCTGTATCAGAGAATTCTAGTAGCATTATTCTTCCCAGAATGATGTCAGTTTTTCTGTAATGGCAGAGGGAGGGGAACCAGTGCTGAATAGGGCCTTCCTGTATGACTAGGCATAAGATGATAAATGCACACACTGATTTCACTTCTGAAGACTTTGCATACAGATGGCTTTCTAGTTTTCAGATGTTTGTGCTATAAAAGTACCTTTCTTTTTTTTCCTTAGGGATGGGTCATTACATATTACCTGCACAGATCAAGATACTGGAAAATGTGAAGCCATTACTGTGGAAATGGCCTCATAGTTTTAATTTGGAAGAGCTTGTGGTTTCTTGAGTACTTGTTTAAACAAAGATTGTAATTGGAAGATGCCATAAGTTCCCATAATTGTCAAGAAGCATTGAAAATACAAAGCTGCAGGTGACATTTGAAAAGAGGAAAGTTGATCATTGTATAAGAGGTAGCTGACAACATATGTGGTATTTAATAATATACCCCCTAAAAGAACTGCATAAAAATGTATCACTCAATCACAGCCAACTCACAAGTCAAATGACCAAGTTGCAGCCAAAGGAAACCAAAAGTTTCTTAACTGTGGATAAGGTAGGTGGAAATAATAAAGGCAGGCTACATTATTTGTGGTGTTGTCAAACTGGATTAATTATTTTATGAACAGTGTGTATTAGAAAGTATAATTTGAGTATTTGTTACTGTGAATAGTAATAAAAGATTGTTTCTTGTATCTCCTGCATACAAACATTTTTAGTAACACTTGGTTTCAAAGCCTTTTATTGCCATTACACAAAAGTCACTAGGTAGGCTTACCCTGAGCTAAACTTCTTAAGTATTGATTTGCACTTGGCCTTTCTTCCTAGATAATGGTGGTTAAGTTGGTAGGGCAGATTTTCAATTCCTTTCTAATATACCCAGCATGGAATTTGCCTCACTTCACAGCAGCCACACACTAGCTTGACATTTTCATTGAAGCATTCACTACAACCTGAAATGCACTTGCTCAGTCATCACCAGCTTGGATCTGACGGGTCAGCGGATATGTGGAATTAGATTTTTTTTTAACCAATCTTCTTTCCACTTGCTTAAATTGAACTGCATTTGCCATTTCACTGTCCATTCTCCCCCTTAGGAGAGATCTTTTGAAGTTCTTTACAATCCCCTTTAAAAAATAATTCAGCATCATCTCACTGCTTATTCCTGCAAACATACTCAGTGACATATTCCTGTCTGCCTCCACATTCACCTTAGTTTTGAGAACAGGCATAATCTAACTGAAGTTAAGCATTTTACATTCTTAATTCTCCCATTGAAATTATAGAACAGAGCCTGTTCTATACTTTGCCCAGTAATCCCTTTTTCACTGTCCCATGCCAGTTTTTTCACATATGCAATATGTACCCTCTTCTTGGGTCAATGGGGTATACTTCAAATAATTAAAAGTTTTGTGCACAAAAAGTGTCCCTTTTCACGAATGCATAACTCCCTTTGGAGAACATTAAACAATAAGGTTTTGAACCACAAATCTGAACTAAAGATACACACAAACCTGAATGAGTATAAAATGTGTTCCTTAAAATATTTAAAACTTTATAAAATAAAGACAAATACCTGCTACATATATACTATAGAGACAGAATTTGAAATTTCAGTGTTTCGCTATGGGAAGATATGATCTGTATACAAATTACCAAAACTGGTTTCTGCAATCATTCTGCTTAGGGTTTTTTTTGTTTTTAACTACTAGAACGTTACTGGTTTCTTTTCTGGAACTCTGAATTACAGTGTGCAATTTGTTTTTGGTTAGACCACTATTTTCTCTTTAAGTCTTTTAATAGGTGAATGTAGTGCATTCCTATTAAAAATTAACTGCAAGAAGAGTGACTTTGTATGCAAGACGAAGATCCCAGGAAGCCATACGTGCCATCAGGTTCAAAGGCACAAACTCGAATTGCACATGGGTCACTGGTTAGAATACATGATTTAAGCAGGCTGACTGCTAGGAAAGAAATGAAGGGCTTTTGGTTTGTTTCCCAGTCAGTTCAGGCTTTCTCCTGCTGCCAGCTTTATATACAGGTTGCACAGTTGGTCTGCTTTAGGAACCTCTGCCCCAGGGGTGGGGGGGACTTCAAAGTCAGAAGAGCTCTGAGAATCCTGCTGAGCTTCAGGGCCAAGTGTGCAGCTTTCTTCTTTGCACCTCTCAGGTGCTGATTGTGTCTGTACACTGTGTGTCAGAGTAGGTGCTGCTCTGCTCACCTCCTGGACCTTGGCCTTGCACTCTGAGCTTATCTTGTTGGAAGAAGGGACACCCTGCTCCCAAGGCCTGCCACTTTGCAAGTCCATTTTGCTTTCCCCAGGAGAGAGATGAGATGCAAAGAACATCGCTCTGTCTAGTCCCCTCTTGAAAGAGCTGAGCTCGAGAATCCTTCGTTCTTGTGAGGAAATAAGTACAGTATCCATTTGGCTGTCCCACCCTTGACTCTCTTGTTCCGATATGTGTGTTGACTGGGAAGAGTTCTGGGAAGAGATATGAGTAGAGTCACTCAAGTCTTCATTGTCACTGTAAAGGTTGGGGGACTGGGGCTCACTTGAATCTGTAACAGGTGGAGCATTGTCCTCATGTTCAAAGGTGTCTGTATCTTCCATATGACACTTAAAGAAGGCATCCCACTTTGGTATTTGCAAATCAGACTGCTGCTGGTTCTCATTTTGCTTGCAAGTGGGCTCTGAACAGACCAGTCCTGTATTTTGCAAGACAGCAGCGGAATCGGCATTACGTGGAAGAATTTCATCTGAAACTATTTTAGATTCTTCCTCCTCATCCTCATCCTCATCCTCATCATTGGCTTCTTCACACTCTATGAAATCTACTTTCAACATAGGCATGGAAAATGCCCTAAAGCAACTTGTATTACTGTCTTGATGGTATTTGGGAAGAAGCTTATTCTGAGAGGATGTAGTCTTTGCCAACAGTTTTGGAATCTTGCATTTTAGAGGAACTAGTTCAGTATCAAAGAGATCATCATCACCACCTCCATCTGTCATAATAGAAAAACAGAAGAACAAACAATATCACAGAAGGTGTCAAGATAACTTTAAACCACTCTAATCTACACATGCCTTAGAATCATATGATACAACTTTTCCTGGTATGTACCACTTCAAACATTAGACAGAACGGAGAGGCAAATTGGTTCATTCATTACATTTCTATGCCACCAAACAACCAAAGTTTTCTGGTTGTAATTTACAAAGTAATTTACAAAGATTAAAATTCTAAAAGTATGTAGTGGTAATAATAACTGAAAACAATAAAAATTGGATGTATATAATTTAAACCGTAAGATCTATTAAAATGACATAATTTTACATACTGTTTTGGGGGAAATTACAACTCCCTGCACACAAAGAGAACTAGAACTTTGGAGAAATAGGTTACCTCAGCCAGCTTTCATTCATGAGCATCCAAGATGCAATTTCCTCACCTGAAATAGTATAGCCCAAGACTTAGATGTATGAACCTGTGATCTCAGACTCAGGTGGAGGCTTCCATATGAAGTACTTTTCAATGCAAAAAATCAACCCCCCCATACAAAAAACTGATACGCCAGAAAACTTAGTTTAGAATCCTTTTTCCTGCTGTGTTAATTTTCAATGTGGAGAAGGGTGGGGGTGGTTTGCTTAAATGAAAAATTCAGTCACATAAGAACTTCTAAGTGATACAGAAAGCTTGGCCATCTCAGCTTCTGTTGGTTATAACTAGGTCTAGTCTGCCACATCTAGCACACACACTCTGAAACTTTGTTTGAAGCATGTTACTTCTGGTGTGTTCTAGCACATCATTTCACCTTTGAAATGAGGGCTGTAGTGCTTGGAGCAATTCTGGCTGTAAATGCATCCAGCAGCAGTGGCACCCTTTGAAGCTGATTTCATTGCAGCAACTGCATCGACGTGAGTGCTATTTCAAACGGCCTCTGTACAAGTGTGCCCAGTTCATAAGCCTGGGACAGTTCTGTGTGAGCTGCTCTGAGTTCAAAACAACTGTATGAGGGATATTTTCTGGAATGTGCCAACATGGTCTAGTGGCATGAGTGCTGAATTGCAGACAACCACATGTAAGTCCACACTAGGTCATCTGATGGTGATTTTGGCCAATAGTCTTCTACCAATGTGACCTATCTCATAGGCTTGTTGCGAGGGTGACATGGGGGATGGGAAATTAAGTCATCTGTGCTCCTTAGATGAAGGCCAGGATGCATACATAAGAAATACAATGCATTTTTATAGATATGTAATCATGGCATAAGCATGATTTACAGTTTCCAAACCATAAAATCTCTCTCTCTTTGGCCATCTGTTACATGTCCTCGTAGAAAGAGAGAGAAGGACTCTTCTTTTACCTGCATCAGTAAACTCCAAGACTCTGGTCCTTTTCAGTGTTCCAAGAGGTTTGTACTTTGGCACGTTATTTTTGCTGTACATTCTGCAGAACGGCTTTAAGCTGAAGAAAATAGTAACAATTTATTATTACATTTGTAACTCCCTTTTTACTTTTTGCAACGAACTCAAGGCATCTTATGTAACCCTCCTTTGCATTTTATCCTCACAGCAACCCAGTGAGGTAGGTTAGGCTAAGAGTCAGTAACTTAACCAAAGTCCTAGTGGTCTTTATGGCTGAGTGAGGGCCACAACCTGGATTTCCTGAATCCCACTGCAAGCCTCTAGCCACTATGTTACACTGGCACTCACTGAAAGCATTTCAGGCTAGTAAAACATTACCTAGTCCCTCTTTGATTTTTCATCTCATTTAGCTCTGCTGAAATTCAATCTTGAAAGTAAGAAAAATGTCAAGATTTGGAATGCACTATCAGAAGCATTACTTGCCGGCCTGTTACTCAATCCTGACTAAAGAAAAACCTAGGCACGATCATGTGGTATGTCCCACTTTAACACTGTCTTCCTCCTGCAGAAAACAAGCCACTTTCTCTGAAGTTACCAGATGCCAGCAATATCAGTATTTTGTAATCACAGTGAAGAATCCTTCCAGCTCTTTAATACTTCCAAGTGGCTAAAGTTAATAATGTGATTCTTTGTCAGTACTTTCTACTTTTAATTTCCCCTTGCTCTCACTGTCTACAATTCCCCTCACAAACATGTATACCCTATTCCTGAAACTCAATGACATCCTATGCATCTGATAAAATGAGATATAGTTCACAATAGCTTACACTAGAAAATATTTGCTGGTTTTTAAGGTGCCACAAGACTGATTTTGCTGCAACGGATGTACCCTCCTGAAAACAGCATGTTTTACTACACTGCACAAGACATGAGGATTCGACATCCCAGTGAAAAATCACTGTTAGACGATTTTACAATACAGCAGATTCTCCTAATGATTGGTGACCATGATCCAAATATTTTGGAGAGCCTAAAACAGTTTCTACAAAATCTGGTGACCGAAGTAATATGGTCAATATAGCAAAAGGGACCAAAGTAAAGAATCAGAAACTTACATTTCTAGAACTCTGTCTTCTGTTGCACCCGCTGGAATCACATTGGGATACACGTTCACCGGGCAAATATACTTCAAGAAATCCTGGATCTAGAAAGGAGATTGGAAGAGGAATTATTAAGAAATAATGCTTTACCATCCTAATAATCCTTTTTTGCATTATGATTTGCAACAGCCTTGAGAGGTAGATAATGATTAACCGAAAAACAAGATGGTAAAGGACTCCCAAATCCAACATGATCCACTGACCCATGCAACAGATCTAAGTAAGGGCAATGCCTACAATAAGTGTTCAGTGTGTTACAAAATGGGGGTGGGTGGGGCCTTTTTCAGCCCAAAGGACATACTCAATTGAGGATTCCAGTGGGGGGGGGGGGGCACAAAGGCAAAAGGGGCAGGGCCAAAATACCTGCAAGCTCTTACAGCAGGCAACCAAGCCTTAGGAGAAGTATTTCAGCCTTTCAAAATGCGGGGGAAACACACAAAACCTGGGAAACCAGCGAACAATCAGTGTTTGGGGAAACATGGTGGGACCTGGGGATGGGGCTTGGCATCTGGTGGACCTCAGAGGCTTCCAGTTCCCCACTCCTATTATAAACAGAGTATCGTGCTACATGCAGGCTATACAGAATTATGATTTTACGAGGCAAGGATGAGCTACGTACCTCACTGAACGAAGAGTGAAATGAAAAGCAAGCTCTGTATGAACTCTCCCCCGTCCTAAACAGAAACCATAAATTGAATACATTTTTTCTTGCTGTTTATTAATATGTGAATGTCACTTAAGAACAAAAGCAGCATTTCTTACAAGAGTCTGCTTTGAGGAATAGCAGAACATTTTCTGAAGTATGAAACTTCCCACTGAATCTTAGTTAACCCATGGCATTCGTTATTTGAATTATGCACTAGGTTGCTCCAAGGCTTTTCACCACATCCATGTTCAGAGACCCTATACCTACAAGAACCAGATGGTAGGGACAAAAAAATATAATAAATGCCCCCTTGTTTGCAGCCTTCTAGGGCTACTTGATTACCATCTGCTTGGGAGAAAGTATTGGACTGCATGGGAAATGTGAAGGATGGCAGCAAGGGGGAAGGATTTCTTGGTGATTGCCCCCTGTCAGCAACCTCCCCATTGTGGCCTAGGTGGCACCAAATGTGCCATGTACTAGGTTCCAAGGCTTTTAAATACTGACGTGGCTACCCAGGAGTTTCCAAGGGATTAATCATCACAGGTGTTCTTCAGAGTCATTCTTTATTGTTTGCTTTTTGTTTTAAACTTTTTTTTCTGATTTTATGGTACAGTAATACCTTGGTTCACGAACACTTCTGTTCACGAATAATTCAGTTCACGAACAGAAAGTTTTGCAATTTTGCTTCTGTTCACAAAGTCCGCATCGGGTGATGAACACGACTGTGGCCATCTTCCCTGCATGAACATGATCGCAGCCATCTTCCCTGCACCGCGACCACGTGTCAGAGTGTGTTTGACCAGGGAAGATGGCCACAATCATGTCCATGCAGGGAAGATGGCCGCAATCGTGTTTGCAGGAACATGAACGCATCCCTCTTCCCTGCTCTGACACATGGTTGCAGCTTCCTCTAGTCGAGATCACGGTCGCAGACTCTCCCTCCAAACAATAACCTCCTCCCCACCCACCTTCCTGTCCTCCACACCAGAAGTCGCCTCAAGCAAGGTTAGTGTTCTCTCTCTTCATACTGTACTGCACTGTACTTTGTTTCATATTTTTGTGGCTAAAAAAATTACATACGGTCCAGAATGGAGTAATCTTATTTACATTGAACCTTATGGGGAAATTTGACTCGGACTGCGACCAATTCGGTTCACGACCAGAATCATGGAATTAATTAAGTTCGTGAACCAAGGTACCACTGTATTTCTATTGCATTTTACTGTCTGGAGAGCTTTAGCTGTGTAGTGGTATACGAGAAATGAAATCAATAATATTTTAGTCTAATCAAGCAGTACAGTTTTTAGATTTTTAGCATTCAGTACAGCACCTAGAAAGTGGCACTCGGATACTGAATAGCAGCAATCCTTTTCTTCACTCCATACAATTTTGGTTTTAGAGAACAAATTTATTCATGGAAGAGTGTGGAGTTACATTCCCAAGGTGAACAAGCTATGAAAAGATCCAACAAGGCAATAACCAAGCTGAAAACATTTAAGAAAAGAAAACAGTAGGCTCTGCTTACCTCACTATTACATTGGTTTTCCTTGTCCTTTCCCCAAACCACATTGTGGATGGCTTGACACTAATTATATGCAACTGTTTTCCATTCTGGGAAGTTGTTCCGCAAGGCAATTTGTTTCTCCTGAAGAATTCATCATCCTGTTGGGCAGATGGTATCAAATGAAACAAACTGTCAGACTACACAAAAGCAAGTCCCTTTTCAATATCTAGTGCAATTTTGTAAATTCTTCTAACTACCTCTCTTTCCTTGTTGTAAGTATAACCATCCAATGTTCATTCTCTTTTGAATTAGCATTATCCCATTTTCTCTAGTTCAGTGCTAAACATGAAGATATGTGCTTCTCAAAAGCATTTAAATTTGCACTTTTCACATGCAAATTAGGGCACTTTGCATCAGAAAATTTTCTGTTTTCATTGGAAAAGTTTCTAAAGCCCTTGAGATGTCACATTTTGTGTTTATTTACTTGTATTATGCATGCTGTGCAGACAAGTTACCTCAGCCTGGAGTGTAAAAATTGTAGTAGTTATAAGATAGGCAAGTACCTGAATGAAATTAAAGAAAAATAATTTCTTTCCATTTGTAGAAATATACTTTTGTTCCACTGTGAACCCTTCCAACTCCTCAACTGCGCACAGTCTGTTGTTTCAGATTCTTTTCTCCCCAACCTAGACACAGCACAGGATGGGTATGAGGAAACAATATGGCTACCTCATCACCTGTGATGTGAGATGGAAAACTTTCCACAGCTTTTCCAGTGCCCTCTTTTACTGCAGAAAATTTTCTAATAAATAAACTGACACCAAAAATAAAATACAGGATAGGAAATATTTGCAATGGGCTTCAGAAGCTGTTCCAGCCAACCCTCTCCCATTGTTCTTCAACATGTCTGACAACTGTGGTCCAGAAGGACACAAGCACCATAAGGAACAGCAATATTGCTAATAAAATACATACCTTTGGATGGCGACATGCATGAATCTGGGTGTACCGATTTAAAGTGACATGGTAGAGGATTTCTGGCATGTTCTTAAACATGTCCAAGTGATTCACATGTACCTAGGAAATTGAATTTATGATTAATGCCATCGCAGACATTAGCAGAGTCAATAAAAGCCATATTCTAGAGGATCTGGCCTCTCTACCACCACAGCAACCACAGAAGGAAGACGGGGATTGGGCCCAGTGTTTCCAACTCTCCCAACAATGTGAAAGAACCTTTCCTGATTACTGTGCTCCTCTTTGCAACACTTAAGATCATGGTGAACATGTTCTAGTTCTCCAGATGTTTTCACATAAGGCTCCCAACCCTTAGCCTATATAACCAGTGCTGAAGGATCATAAGGGTTCCAGACCAAAATATCCGTAGAATCACATGTCACTCACTCCCACCTTAGACCAAGTTCTTATGTCCCCACAGGAAGAAATATTTACAGGTTGTAGGCAGTTTTCTCAAGACATGGTGCATCCATTTTAATTCACTAGGCAGCCACCACCAAGAGGATCTACACCATGATGGCCCCAATAACAAGGACACAGTTGGACCGTGTGTTTTTATCTGCAAAATTTCCACATACTAATTGCAATACTGGGGTTGACACAAGGGAGTCAGGAAGTGGCTGGTACTTCTATTGTTTTTCTGTCTTCCCTTATTAGCACCGAGGTTGGCTTATATTTTGAACTGATTAATTCTGTTGACAGATCTCTTTGTTTCCACCAAAACCCACCCTGTGGCAGGTGGCACCTGTCATTAGGACACTGTGCAATAAACTTGTATGGTAGGCTAACACCTGAAAGGTGTGGCATTCTGCCAGGTGGTGGGTCCTTAGAATAATTTCATTTCAAGATCACTGAATGGCCCTTGCCTGGTTCTGCAATTTGGTTGCCACTCACTCCTGTTGCATTCCAAAAGAAGTCCTGATGAACGGCAATCTTACCTTGACTCCAAGCTCCTCACTGAGATGGATGAATAAATACTCATATCCGTATGCCGCTTTGCAGTTCAGCCATACCACATGGTAGGGACTTAAAGTGATCCAGCTTCGTACTAACTCTAGTATGCCCTTCATACATTCTTCCTAATAAAGAAAAAGAGGGCAAATTATAGATTTCAGCTTAAAGCCTGGTGATGCCATGAATTTGGGGTGGATCAAAGTTGAACTGAATTTAGTTGCAAACATAATACAAACATCTGAAGCTGCATGCACTCTTTCAGACTCTGTGCTCATCTAGTCCAGAAGTGAGGAATTTTCTTTGGACTGGCTCCAGGCAAGACCAGCAAGGGCTGCATGCAACAGTGAACAGGATCACATCCTGAACTAGGCAGGGCCATCCCAACACTGACACTGTTTGTCCAAAATGGTACAGGCAAAAAATGCACACCTTCTTCCTGAAAATGTTCCCCCTTGCCAGAAAGTAGGCTTTGACAAACTGAAAAGCACTGATTGCAGCATGGGATGGGGGTGGGGGTATTTTTTGAGTAGGGCTGCAGCATCGGGAAGGAAAGAATTATCCCTTCCTCTCTCCAGAAGCACCTCCATTCCTGAAAACTGTCCCATCCACCGCCTCCAATGGAGGCCTGATTGTTTCCCCTCGCACGGGGAAATAATTTACTTTGGATAAGAGATTTTCTGTCCCTGGAGGGAGGCAAGGCCTACAAGATAAGTTGGTAGGCTGAATGGTGACCCCCCCACCCCACCCAACACACACACCCTTAGGCCACTATTTAGCTTGCAGATTCAGAAGTTCCCTGCACCTGGATCTAGGCCAATACACTTGCCACCTTGACAACTCTCAAGTGGAGGTTTTTGGGCAATTTCTTAATTCTGCTACCAGATCCACCAGAACTGGAGATGCTGGAAGGGGAACTGGCCTGGGGTTTTCTGCATGCAAGCTGTCTGTTCTACCATCCAGCTTTGTGCACACCTCAAAAGGAAGGGTGGATATCAGGGAGATCTCTGGCTGTTTTCCAGGACCATCAGTGAGAAAAGAGTACAGGTAGGCAACCAGGCAACCCAAGCCCCTAGGACAAAGCAAAACAAAGCTTTGTATCCCAAGTCCTGTCGATAAACAGAGCTTGGGATATTCAATAATATGTACATCAACATATAAGCCAAACACCCAGCAAGCCTGGGCCGTTGGAGCTTAGCCTGGCAATAAGGTCTTAATGGCATATCTAGGAGTTCTAGCCTCTGATATTTCAGAGGACAGTGCCACCAGGGAAGCCAGAAGTTCCATGCAGAACTTTCCCAGCTAGCAGCAAGGCAAGTGCAATGACAGGTGTGATCACCTTTGGCTTACTTACCCGGCTTGGTATCTGATAAAATCGGGGGTCGCAGAAAGTGGTATCTAAATACACACTCTGGATGTCTTTCACTCTGGGAGAGAGAATGGCAACACTGTTAAAATCCCAGGTATAGCATTATCAGGTGCCCAAAGTTCATAAATCTACTTGGGATTTGTCAGATCCTGAAAGCGGTGTATTTTTCCTATAATGTCCATATAGTTATAATTCCATAGAGTGACAGCTGGAAGCCAGACTTTTGACACCTTGCTTTTGACATTTTTAGTTTAGACAGACACACACAGCCTGGCTTTTCCACAGAGCAAGGTCACAGATTGTTTGCAGGCGGGTTCAAGCACCTTATAACCCTGCAAGAGGCTGAAACTTCACCCCATGGACCGATCTGGCTCACCAAGCCAGCCCATCTGGTCAGTGGGGACTTGGTGAGGCCCTTCCCCAAAGCTGCTACCCCTTCAAGAGAAAAGGTGCAGGACAGTAACTGAGTGCTGGACTGCTTTACACTTAATCAGTTGAGCCTCAATGGCCAGGCCCTTTTTCTTCCAGGAAGTTCCAGCCAAGTCCATCTTGCTCCTTCTTTCTCTGCCTGGTGTGGAGAAGGTGGAGGATGAGGGCCTTTGTCCGGAGATCCTGGAAGGACCCAGCAGGCATGCTACATTCCTGCTTTGCCTTCCCTACAAGGGAAAGAGGAGCAAAGCTGGCTCTAGCCAGTGGGATGGGCCCCACTTCCAGTGTCCACAATCCACTAGGTGGGGCCCAGTGGGGCCCACCACTGAACACTATCCAGTTCTCTTCCATTTTACCCTTGCTGACACAGGCAGCTTCCAAGCGCCAAGCACTTCTTATCTACATTGCTTTCAGCTTCACCAGGGTTGTGGCCAGGAGCAACTTCATGAGGCTGCCATATGTGCATGGTATATTCACCAAGACCCTCATCTCTAGGGCCTAGGGCATGCTTGGCGGCAGAAGACAGTATTTAGACATCACGCACAAGATGGCACCACATCAGCTGACAGGCCTACTACACAGAGCTAAGAATAAATAGCAGGTGGCCTGCTTTTTGATCCTGCGTCTTGGGCACATACGATTGCCAGAAGGGCCCCTTCTGAGGGCACTTTCCAGTCAAAGATGAGGGCAGCCGATTTCCCCTGCTAGGCTTTTGAACAGCGCCAGGTGGACACACTTCTAACAGCACTGGCTCATGGGCTGGGATCACAGCAGTTTTCCCCATAAGCAAAGCAGGGTCACGTCGCTGAGACTTCCCCACAGGCCTGCTACAGCCACTCTGAGACTACCAGCCCCTGTGCACAGTACTTTTGTGTCCTTACTGGCGATTTGTTCAAGTGCCCTGCTTTTTTTCAAGTACCAACATATTAGTTAGAGAATTATTTTACCCCAAAGTGTCACAAAGATTTTTGGCTCTGCCCATACTGACTCCAATCTACTGATTCCATAAGCAACTACAAAGTGCATTAAAGCCATACCATTTACCATCAGTTACCTGCTCCCTGAATGCAGAAGTTCCATTCGGGCCACTTCACCGCTGGCAAGTCTGAAATCCCCAGTATACAGCACTGTGCCATTTTCACCTTGGAACAGAAACCTGGATGCAAACACATATTTGCACGTGTTTCAGCAGATCACCCAAAGACTACTCTACCAGTAGTTCTCCAAGCAATCCAAAGCCATCACACCCTACTTGGGAAGAACAAGGCCATATACAAGCCAGGTCCATGACTGGTGTCTCTGTCCCCATCAGCTCCAGTCTTAGACATTTGTGCATTGGACAGAAAGACTGAAAAGGGCAACTTTGCAAAATGACAACCCTGGAAAAGCCAGGAAAGAAGGTGGTCCAGGGGCCTTGGCTTCCAGGTAACCGACAGATTAGGTGAATAATATGTAGTGCAAGGGTAAATCTGAGTAGAAAATGTAGGGTCTACTGCTATCTTTGTCTATGGCCATCAAAGTACCCTGCAGATACCTGTAACATTTTTAATTATACCTTGAATGGTGGAGGAGAGTGTTCCAGAGTAGTTCCCAGATACCTGCCAAGTCTATTCTTCAGAATGCTTCAGGGCTCCTCTTGGACCCAGTGACATTTTTAGAAAGTAAGATGGAAGGTGGCTGGAGGCTAGCATCGCTCTTTGAAGTGCTTCTGGACAATCTCCAAAACCAAACCAGAATGGATGCAAAGAAGAAACTAACTTCCTCACTGCTGCCTGGTGCATGGAAAGGCTTAGAAATGGCACAGGGGTAACTGGGAGAGGGCTGTCATGAACCAGAAGCTGGTGGTAACTGAATCAGAGGAGAAGGGAGAAGCAGACAAAGGAGGGATGACCAAATGACGTTAGAGGATGAGACAGGAAGGTGGGCAATAATGTTTTATAATTGGCTGTGCCCAAATGGCAGCCATTTTGTGATGGCACCGACTACAGCCAAAACCCAAAATGTGCCTCCCAGCCCAAAACAGCTGTGAGGCAGGACATGTAGAACCAGTGCAGATGGGACATTCTCAATATCTTAAGCATGCTAAGAAGGCTGTAAGGACTGTGACTTCTCTGTCCTTGGTCTCTCATGAAAATCTCCCTGCTCTGTCAGCATTAAGTACTGTTTGATGTTACAGCAGCATTAATGTCAATGACAGTAAAAGCAAATGAGCTTCTTCCTTAATTATAGGAAAAGATGCAAACCCCAGATTTCAATCTAGGTTAAGATAGAGGCTCACTAAGGTGGGCAAGCAAAATGCAAGTCAAAGGAGGACAGAAACATCCAATCCCACAGCTCCTCACTCCTTGCTGTGTTTAAAATTGCTGCCTGCTTTAAGTAATGTTAGTTTTATTTTGTTTGTTCTTTGGTTGTCCTTTCATGTTATTTTGTCTCATGCTGCTTTTGCATAAAGTCTTGATGAGCACACATTTGTTGCTGTTATTATGACTGACACATGCATAATACAAATGTCACTGTACACTGGGAAGTGCAAAACAACTTCATTAACTTAGCAGGCTGTGAAACCAATGATCAGGAACAGGAGAGGCTCTTGACAAACGTATCTAGAATAAATTAACTGCAACTATGCCCACATAGTGGCATAAACTATAATGAAAAGAACTTTTTTTTTGCATTTTCATCCCTGTCATTAATTTATTTGAGGGGAACTAAGGTGCATACATGACGGATCCTGGGCAGTGTCCAGCTGGCAGAAGTGTTACAACTACATCTTCTTTCTAAAAGGAGACACAGGAAAGAGAAAAGACATATATTTACTGGTTAATATTAGATATGGGCATATTGATTCTTGCCTGGATGCAGTCAAAATGCAGACAAGAAGGTGGAGTCAATAAAGCCATATTCATCCAATACATCTAAGGATCTGAGCAGGGGAGGAAGGATTACATCTTCTTGGCCTGTCTGAGTCCTCCACAGATGCAACTGCATAGTCCAGGGCCTTTCACAATACACTGTTAGTCTACCTTGCAGACTTGGGAGTGCCACAGCAGCATGTATTTTAGAGAAGCACGAAAGACAAGCAAAAAGAAGAGATTGGACCAGAGACTGAAAAAGGAACTGACCTAATCCATGGTTTTATATTATGTTGGTTAAGATTGAGGTCTTACAACTTAATTAGCACAACTACCATGTTAGGATAATATTTTGACTAAAGATTTAAAATGCCCAATATAATTACCTCACCAGATGCTTCTTCCACTAGAGAAATTTGTGTTGGAGTTTCAACTTCAAGGGCAACCTAAAGTAGACAACAAAACACAGAAAGGAGCATTCTAAAAGGCACAAATTATTTTCATACATACTTAAAATGTATCTTCTTATGGCATCATGGTAAGTAGATTAAGGTTTCAGTGACTTGTGCCTCTAGTAAATATGTGCCTGTGGGAGGTATACCAATGATCTGGCCTTTTCCAAAATGGTGTCCTCCAAATGTTTTGGACTTCAATCTCATCAGCTCCTCACAAATTGGTCAATAATCAGATACAATAGAAGCTGTAGACCAAAATGAACAAAGGGAGCAGCTTGGGAAAAGATGCATTAATCTATGAAAAGCAACTGTTAATATGTACTTCTTGCAAAGCATGACTAAATCACACCCACCAAATCAAGTAGCAAAACTCACTCAGAAAAGCACACCTTTTAAAAAAAAAAAATAATGTTCTTCCTTCTCTTAATCACATTGCTTAGTTTCGTTGCAGCCTGATTTTCAGTACTGCTTCACTGGATGTTCCTCAGAAAAGAAAAGACCCTGCCTCAACTGGTAGCCTGAGGATCATAAAAATCTGGTGTGAGATGCTTATGGATTTCTCTCTGCCTGAAGGGCAACTTTTCCTTCGTAGATTGTGGGACTTTATGATCTGACAGATGGATTATAAGATGAAGTAAAAGTTTCTAGGCAGACTTAACTTCCTGATACTGTTATTATCCTGCCTTCCCATAAATTCTTGTTAGAACAATTTTAAGTTGTCAGAATGCCCGTGTTCAACCACTGAACTCAATGATCTGCTTCACATGTAGTGGTTGCAACGCTTGGATTAATTAATTCACAATTTGCTCTGGTGTATGCTCGGTACGTGCCATTTCAGCTTTACATAATCAACATCCAACCACAGCTCACCTACAATTAATTCTCATGTTAACTCTGGGGTGTATAACACAAAATTAATCTATTGTGTCCAGGTTCAGATATGATGAATCAACCCCCAATGAGCCAAAACAGCTCATGTAGGGCAAATCATGGGTTAATTAACCCAGAATTTGATGTCATGACATGCAATGGGGGCCACTAAAATATACAGGAACAGAGGTAACTTACAATGTGATTCTCCCAAAATTTATATCGTGGATTACTCAGTAGCAACTCCTTTGTCACTGGTGAGCAGTACAAACAAACTGTCAAGCTTTGAAGACAAAAGAGATATATGGTTTAGTATATATCATGGCCTATATCAGAGAGCTTAGGCTATTGAGTGGTATAGAAATGCCACACTATCCAGAGAATTGAAGAACTTCTTCCATTCCCTCAAATATATTTGGGGTTTGTGTTTCTCAAAAAGCAGACCTTTCCTCATGTCACCTTGAGGAACTGTGTACAGGCATCTTTTACTTGAAAGCAAAAAAAATCCCACTGGGATAGCTCTTCTTTCCCAGACATCATCTGCTTTAATGTATGTCCTTTCATCTCTTTCATCCCCTTGTACAGCAAAGCAACTTTTTCCTTCAGACCTATACACTTGCTACACCAAAATATCCAAAGTGTTTCACCTCAGAAATCCATAATACTTTACCCAATGAAAGAGCCAATCTAGCATGAACTAGGTAACAGAAGCAAAGCTTCTTGTTCCTGATGAGGGAATTTTGTTCCAGTTGAATGCAATGTTAATGGAAAACTTTCAGCATGCCATTTACCACTCTTAGTTAGTGGTAAAGTACACTTGTGTATAAAGTACACAATGTTTCAAGTACACTTCAGATAAAATAACCAGAAATTGATACAGTACCTGCTAGCTTTTCATATTGCCCTATTGCATATTTGTGTAGTTTTCTACAACTTTGTGTACTAATATGTAATTCTCTTCACATTATAAAGATGTGGGTCACCTACTTTTCTGGCAAAACAAAGCATCATTGTGAAACTTTTTATGTTAGCAAAGTAAATATAATTATGTTTAACAGACTGACAAAATGTGCAAAATCCTTCTCCAAATTCAAACAAAGATAAACTCAAAAACAAAGGAAGGAAATCAAAGGAGCAAGGAAATAAATAAATAATTATCTATGGCAAAATATTCATGCAAAGAATCCAAGGTGGTGGAATGAAATCTAATTTCCCTGCTATTTAAGTTATTGGTTCCATTACTTTAACAAAGGTTGAGAGAAACAAAACTTCACCTGCATGCCAATCTTCTTTTCATGGAAGGGGCTCTCAGTCCTTGCATGTGATCTAAAGATTCAACAAAAAGTTTCTTTCAGAAATCTATCATGCTTTGAAAACACCCCTCAGTCCTGGGTCTTAATCAGCAGCACCACTTTGAAGCTCAGATGAGCAGGCTCAATATACATGCTCAATTAATACAGTTGGGAATTCTCTGTTGCCTATTTGTCATGTTGATTGCAAAGAATTTTAAAATGGCAATATGATCTGAATGCCTAGATTAACTGATTTTAAAATACTGTTTTCATTAAGAGTAACTTTTAAAAATAGTAGATAGCAAGCATCATCTTAGAAGAGACATTTCGCTTTCTTTCTCATCAACAGGAGAGAATATCATTTAAGAACAAAGTATTTATGTATCTTGTTTCATCTGCAGATCTGAAGTTTTCACCATATTGCCACATGTTCACAATCAAGGCAACACAAAGCAGTGCAGTTACACCAGATGAAGTGATGGCCACTAATCTGGACAGCTTTATAAGAGGACTGGACCAATTCACGGAGAAGTCTATTATTGGCCACTAGTCCTGACAGACATATACTGTCTCATATCAGGTCTCCTATACCCATGCAAACCCATGGAGAAACCAGGCAGAAGAGTGCTGTTGAAGTCATGTCCTGCTGATGGGCTTCCCCATGAGCAGCTGCTTGGCCACTGTGCGAACAATTAATGGACTTGATGGACCCCTGGGCTGATCCATAAAATTCCTTCTTAAGCTCTTACGTTCTTAATTTCTTCTGTTTCCAACATTAAGGCTGTGAACACCATTGCTTAGGTAGCCAGAACACACCATTCATACATACAGTGAGGAGACATCAACAGGGCTGATCAAACCCCAAGGTCTTTTATTCATTCAGAGAATGAATGAATGATCTTACATTCAGTGACTTGATTTGTTGGTTCTGGTAGAGGTAGCAGTGGTATTGTTGTATTGTTTAATTATGCTTATTAGAAATTATTAATTATGCTCATTGTTATTCTATTAACTGTATTGTTTCAGGTAGTTTTATATATATATATATATATATAAATTTTAAAAAACCCTCGAGGTCTGCAGAAGTACAAATTGTGGCCAGACTGATCAGGCTTGGTTACAGTAAGCATACTGTATGCACCAGTAAGCATACAGTGAGCACCTTGTTGCAACAGATTTGCTGGCAGTAGTCTGTTTCTGGGAGGAATTCAAAGTGCTGGTTCTGACCTATAAATCCCTATCTAGCCTGGGATCAGGCTACCTCCATTTGAACCTATTTGGATTCTTTTCAGACCATCACTTTGAGGCATGTTGGGTGGTGATATAAAAAGGGCCTTCTTGACTATCTGCTCCCCTGCCACAGATGTGCAAAGAATGTTTTATTCAAGTGGGCCTATGTAATCAGTCCTGTTGGATTAATGCCGTTTTTAGTCTTCTGTCATTATGTTTTGAATTTGCATGTAAAATATTTGTTTTATTACTGCTTCCATCAAGTTTTGTAATTGTAAGCTCCCTTCAGTATTATTTTTTCTTGGTAGAAAGGTGAGATCCATGCAAAGAATTCCCCCAAATAACTCTTTCCTTTTGCAACACAGAATGAGGAAGCTGACATATTTTTTTTTTCATTTTTTAAAGACCTTAAGCCACAGTAACTTCCTCCATCTGATCCTTGAATTTAGTTGCAATGAGAAAATCCCGGTTCATACCCTCCCTTGGACATCCCTCTCTTAAATTCCTCCTGTCCTCGGGACCCTCTCTCAGTTTTAGAGGTCCTACTTACCTAACAACCCCCTCCCTCCCTTCCTTTTTCCCTAACACCACACCATCCCTATCCACCCCTTTTTTAAATCGCTGAACAAACCACACCTAGCTGCCTCTTTCACCTACTCAAACACCTCCTCACACTCTGTAAAGTTTTCTTAAGGCACAATCCAAGGCATGTTTAGACAGAGGTAAGTCCTACAATTCCCAGCATGCCCCAACCATTCCTGTCTTAAACATGCCTAGGATTCTGCCTTTGCAAACTCTCCTTGCCGAGCTCCAGTCCAACCGACCAGTCCGCCCACTGCATTAATACTCCATTAAGCCGAACCGGTCGCACTGGGAAGACCTGTCCCGGGGTGGACGAGAGGGGCGGGCCCCGCTCCTGAAGTCCCACCCTTCCCATCGTCCCCACCTCTTGGCGGCATCCCGTCCCCTATTCTACGACAGAGTGATCGTTCCCGTGCCTCCCCGGCGCGAGAGGCGCGGGGCAAGGCTGGGGCCGGTTGTCTCACCCTTATGGCAGTGGGACAGGAAATAAGCCCGGGCTTGCAGATTCTCGTGATCGAAACGATCTATGGAGCAGTGCGGATATTCCCGCATGGTCCCACCAAAGCTGCTCATGGCGCTGCGCAATTCCTCCGTCGACCTCCACTTCCGCCAGGCTTTCTCCACACCGCCTTCTTATTGGCTGAGGTTGAGGCCAATCACTGAAAAGCATCGGCACGCGCGACATCAAAGGAGGCGTGGTCGCAGCGCCGTTGCCCTGGTTACGTAGCGCTCAATCAGCCCGATCATTTCAGTCCTCGTGGAAAAGCTAAAGTCGAAGGCATCCGTTACATCATCACGTTCCAACTATTTATTTGAACGACCCCTTACTTATTCTAACTCACGCTAACACTAATTTTACCGCACAACCTTTTATGCACTTGAGGCGATGCTAACCGCTGCTTATGCAAAAATCGGTGAAAGGGGGCGCTAATCCAATGGGGGGTATAAGAAGAACATTATGTAAATAGGGGTCTCATCTTGTACAGCTTGCACTATCAACTTTATGGGTGCTATCCATGGTGCTGAAGTTCACTCCAAAGTAATTTCATCACCATGGAGGGCCAAAGATAGTTCCCATAAAGGTCAGAATAAAAACTGGCACTGATAAGGATCTCGCCTGACAGTAGTCACCAGCCTGTCCTGAGACCACTTCTCTTCAGCACATCTACGGAAAAACATATTTAGAACAGAGTAGTTGGGTAGTCTCTAGACAGCATACTAAAAAGCAGAGACATCGCCCTGCCGACAAAAGTGCGTATAGTCAAGGCTATGGTTTTCCCAGTTGCAATATATGGCTATGAAGGCTGGACCATAAGGAAGGCTGAGCTCAAAAGGACTGAGACCTTTGAATTGTGGTGCTGGAGGAGACTCCTGCGAGTCCCTTGGACCGCAAGACGATCAAACCAGTCAGTCCTTGAGATCAACCCTGACTGCTCTTTAGAAGGCCAGATACTGAAGATGAAACTCAAATACTTTGGCCACCTAATGAGAAGGAAGGACTCACTGGAGAAGAGCCTGATGCTGGGAACAGTAGATGGCAGAAGAAGAAGGGGACAGCAGAGGATGAGGTGGATAAATGAAGTCACAGAAGCAGTTGGTGTGAGCTTAAATGGACTCTGGGGGATGGTGGAGGACAGGAAGGCCTGGAGGAATGTTGTCATTGGGGGTTGCAATGGGTCGGACACGACTTCACGTCTAACAAAAACAAGTTGGTTAGTCAGGTTGCAATGTTGGTGCAGCAACCTGATGTGAACCAGTAAGGATTGCTATGAGGGCATTCAAACGTTGCTGTGTATTGTATTGACTGAAGAGAGGACTGAAGGCTCCAATTTGTAAGTAGATGATATTTGCTGTTCCTTATTGAATACAGAGAAGCATGAGCAGCCTGGCTATGCAACTGAAGTGATTGTGCTTCTGACCTCCAAAATATCATGTGTTGTGGACAGGTATATAATTTAGTGTGGCCCAAACTTTATATAGAAACTGTGTACCAAATTCCTTATTTGTATATAGGTTTATTGGCTTGGGGACAGCCCTCTTGTGTCTTCTAATTCATCTCAGGGAGTCTCTGGCAAAGGAGGTTAGGTAGGCAATCTTCCTAGGTAGTAGGAAGAGGGTCAACCTTGCCTGCAGAAGGAACTTCCCAGAGAGGCTTGCCTTCATTGTACTTTTTCCCACACTAGGTGAAAACCTTACTTTCCCAGAACTATTGGTTTCAGACTGTTTATATTTGGTATTGTATTTTAAATGTTTGTACAGCTGCTAGGTTTTGTTCTAGCTTGCAGTTTTGTACTGTAGTCTGAACATGAGGAACATGGAACGAACATGAGGCTGGATCCGGGCGTTTCATATAGCACTACCCTCTGGTTGCATAAGGGCGTTATTTACGATAGCTCACGGCTTACTTTGACCTGTAAAGGCCCTTATTCCTAAATGCGAAACCAGCATCCCAATCTAAAAGATACGCCTGCTCCTTGCAATCCGCTCCATGTTACAAGAGAACACACACTAAATAGCAGGCGATTTGGCCAAGCCGCGACTGCTCGCCTGGCTCGAAGCCGTGACGTCTTTGTTCCTGATTGGTCGACGAAGGCACGCTCCCACCCCATACGTCTGCTGATACGTTGTAGCTCAGAGGCAGCTGCCATTGGCTGGCCCGAGCCAGGGAGTAGGAATGCTAGCGGTTGCTAAGCGACCGCGTAACCGCTGAGAAGAGAAGGGGAGGAAAGGCCGCCGAGCTCGCGTGAAGTATTTGCCGAGAACTCGTTGTCAAGGGTAAGTATTGGCTCCGACTTGCGCGGAAATTTGTTGTGGGGGTCTCAGTTTTGGCCGGTCCTACGACAGCCGACATAGCGGAGAAGGAATCGTGATGCTTGAATGAATCGGTAAATATGAACGGCTCTTTATTTCTTTTCTTCCCGCCCCTTAAAAATAAACGCTGCTGATTGGGTGTCCGCGCGGCGCCGCCCACAGACTCGCCCCGCCCTCTTAGCATTCTAGCCCCGCTTTCAAATTCGCCTCTGGAGACTGAAAGTCGCGTTTCGTGCTGTGAGGTCGTTGATTTGTAGTCTGGTGTTTTGTGTGTGGGGTTGGCCTCTTCCAATGAGGGTGCTTAGCAGCGGTCCTTTCTTTATTTCCTTCAGAGCAATAGCGAAAGTATTGGGTATGATCTAGAAAGAATGTTCCGTGTCGTAAAGTGTACTTTCATCGGAATCAAAACGTCGGGTGGGATCATAGGACGCGTTATCGCGACACCACTAGACTGTACAGCTCAGTATTGCCCTCCAGGTGTTTTGGGCGACGGTCCCATCAGTCCCAGCCAGCACAGCCAATGGTCAGGAATGCTGGAAGCTGTCATCCAAAACGTTTGACTGATTTACTCCAACTAAGGCTGCGTTTCTACTTCCCAATCCATTTATTGGGACTTTGCTGTAAAGCGTAGCAGTTCTCAGGCGTTTCATATATGGGTCTTTCCCTGCCTTTCATGAAGATGCCTTGGGAAACAAGCCTCCGAGTTTTTGCTGCTGATGTACAGATTAAATGCCCACGGACATATATTAGGCAATGGTATGAGTGCTATATGCCTTCTTAAAAATGCACAAATGATTGATTTTATGCATTTTAGTTGACTTATTTATGTGATGTACACATACAGATGTATGCCTGCCTAAATTATTTCAGGTAGTGCACAGAAAAATGTACCACCAGGCATTTTACTGAAGGTAGAACTGCGCAATTGTTGACATGGTAGGCTTCCAATTTAAATGTGAAGCACAAACCAGGAAAAAGTGACACATAGAATAACATAACATACAGATAGCAGCATACTTAAAGAAGTACATTGTGTGAGTTTTAATTTTTATTTTTTAGGTTCGAGCATTTTTTGCTCACAAAACTTGCTTGTGATGTGTCATTTCACGTCATGCCCACATTAACTTTGCTAGTTTAAAATTGAGCTACTTTCCCTGTTACTCCTGTTTCATTTCTCCTGCATCATTTTATCATGCATCAGTAAGCATTTTTCCCTATGAACACCCAGCCAGCTGCAGCTGCTTATGTAACTTGAAGATAGCTTGTCTACAGCTGTGTGCAGGTGGTCTTTCTGCCAACCAGAGTAGGACTTAAAATGCAGATAAAAGAAATAATGAGCAGAGGAAACAAAGTGCCTCATTTCTCTGCTTCAGGTTGCACAGTCTGTCTCTAAGTATTTCAAAACAGAGCTATGACTGATTTTTTCACATTTCAAAAATGTAACTATTCTGGAGATATGCCTTGATTTTTAATCAGTAGCTTTCCCTAGAAGCAAAAATGACAGAACTGAGTATGTCATACTTTGGACACATCATGAGAAGGCAAGATCCCCTGGAGGGGATTCCTACAATCATGCTAGGGAAAGCAAAAGGAATGCCAAATAGGAGATGGATTGACTACATTAGGGAAGCCACAGACTTGACTTTAAAACAACTAGGCTGGGATATAATGGCCAGAACATTTGGAGGGCCACAATCTTGAGATTATCAGAGCTGAGCAGGGCTGTCAAGGCCAGAACATTGCAGATGGCTTTCATTCTTGGGTTGTCATAAGTTGGAGCTGACTTGACATCACATAACAACAAGAAGTTTCTCTATACTACTGCCCTGCATCTACAGTTTCAGTTATGCTGCATTCATTGTATCAGCACTGGGAGTCAGCCTCCATGAAATGTAGCTTTGGATGAACCCAGATAAGGGTGCAATCATCTGGCCCCTAGACATTATCTAAGGGGCCACAGGATAAGATACTCTTCCAAGGTTGGGGACAGCATTTCAACCTGAGAAGGGGAATCGGAGATCAGCCTCCTCCCCTGCCTCCTTGCATCCCTCTTGGAAAAGGGGGCATTTTGGTAGGTGGGATGTGGAAGAAACTGGAGAGAACAGGATGTAAGTTATCTGAGACCTCTCCAGCTTCCTTCACTCTGCCTTTGAAGTGTCACTGCTAGACCAGTAACATAGTTTGTAAAGTGAAAAATGCAGGCTGGGGGAACAGGGAGGTGGCAACTGCTTCCACTCCTCCTTTTGCTCAGCACTGGATGATCAGAAGCCTCTGAGCTTGAGAGCTGTTGCATCACCAAAGCAATAATCAATAAGATTGTTCCCTAAAACTATAATTTTGAGAGAATGAGTGGTATGTAATATTACAGTGGTATGTAAATCCAATGTAGAACTAGATTTGCTTGTGGAAAGAAGCAAAATGATAAGATTCACATTCAGTGTGTATGTGGGCGGGGGGAAGGTGAAAACAGTCTTGTTATTTTAGGTTAGAATAGGTTGCTATTTATTTTCATGTTTGTTTTTGCAGGAGTTCTTATGGAAAACCCTGTTGTGTTCATGGATAGTAAGGATGTGTCATGTACATCTTTCCCCTCTGATGAAGCACACATGATAGATGAGCCAGGTTCATCCTGCAGTAGGGAAGTAGATCGTCTTGATGACAGGTAAGTGGTGATTATCAGGTTCATCTACCATTAAAGTCCAGATCTGCTCTTCAGTGACGAATTTTCGTCATCTTGTAGATGATATAAGTAAATGTTAATCCTTCATATCTCAAAGGCTTTGGATGAATAGTAGCATTAAAAAGCCTTGGATGATGATGTTGAAATCCTCCAAGTTGTTGGTTCCAGAGGAGTTTCAATGTTTATGCCAAGGCTGCTGGATCAGAGGTAGCTGACATACTTTGCATGTGATTTTTCTCAGCTGGGCAAGAAGAGGATGATTTGAGGGTGATAAGCAAGAACTTACCACCATTCCCTTGATGTGATCGGATCACCTGATAACTGTCAATAGCTTTTCCCCTCTGCAGAGGCAGGGGACCAGTAAGATGGTCTTCTCCAGAGGCTGACACATCCAGTTGATTTCCAATTGGCACTGGGGGATTTTCCTGTTAACAAGACGTGTATGCCTCTGAAAGCCCCGGCCAACCTGTGAAATATGAAGATGACTAGAGCAGTTCACATAGCTACTCATGAGCATCCTCTTACTTAGCAGAGTTCAGATGGCTCCATGTATACTCTGGAACTGAGGGCAATGAAGCAAGCTGAGGGACAATTAGAATGCAGGGAAGACTCCTGGTGAATGTAATCAACATAGTATCAAATCTATTTAGTGACAATCACTCTTTTACTGCCTCCATTATGTCATCCCCATGCTAACCAGCAGAACTTTTATAGGTAGTTTTCTAGGCCTGTTGCACAGTGGCCCAAAGGAGGTGGTTGAACTCTCAGCAGCCTATGGTAATATCTTTGCTTGAAATCTTGAGGATATAATTTTTACATTCATTCCTCAGTACTTTAATTCTCCTGTTTAGCAGCCAGATCTTGTGGGAGTCCACAAAACAGTTTGGTCCAGTATTATTGGATGAATTTCAGTTAATATGGCTTGAGGACATGGAAAAGATGCTTGGACTGATAGGTCTGCTTGCATGTTGGATCCTTGACCTTCATGGCCATATTAGCAGAGATGGGACAGCAGGTTGGACCAGAGAGGTCATAAATCCTTATAAGATGGAGTGGCCCTGGGTCACCTGAAAGAGTCATCAGGTCACCACCACCACCACAATGCATTTCTTTCCTGCCTTCTCATGAGGAACCCAAGGCATCCTATATAACTCTATTTTATCTTCACAACAACTACCCTGTGAGGTAGTTAGTCTGAAAATGACTGACTGACCCAAAGTCACTTAGTGAGCTTTATGACTGAGCGGGGACTTGAACCCAGATCTCTCAGGTCCCCAGTCTGACAATCAAACCAACTCACCACACTTGTCCTTCCCCCAGATCCGGAAGAGCTGAATGGTTATAGGCCAATTGCACATACCCCTTTTCTGGGAAAATCATTAATTGCATCAGATCCAGGCATTTTTCAATGAGACTAATTTTCTGGCTCTATTTCAGTCATGGTTCAGCCACAAATTTGGTATTGAGAGGCTGCCTTGGTTGCCCTATATGTTGGGAAAGAGAACCAGGGAAAGTATGTCCCTGTTGATACTCCTTGATCTCTCCACAGCATTCAGTACCCACAAACATCATATCCTGTCATAGTAGCTGTCCATTTTGTGAATTGAATGCACTGCTTTCAAGTAATTCCTTTCCTATTTGAATGGTCCTTTCCAGAGGGTAGGACCTGGGAGTTATTGCTTGGCTCCCTGGTGTCTCCAGTTTGGGCTTCCACAGAGCTCAAGTCTATCTACTGTGTTGTTTAGCATCTATAGCACGGGTCTCAAACTCAACTTACCTGGGGGCCACTGGAAGTAGAGTCTGAGTGAGGCTGGGCCGCATCAAGTATTCCACCACCACGGTGGTGGTGGGCCGCTCATCCCGTGGCTGGCCTGGGCGCCGCCAGCACTTTGAAGGCCACAGGGCCCCTCCCCCGTGCCCCACCCATCCCGGCAATTGGCCCGTGGGCCGCAAGTTTGAGACCCCTGATCTATAGGAAGATGCTTTGTGGGGTAGTCCAGCATTTTGGGGTGAATCCACGGATTGACTTCCAGGCAAGAAATGGAAGTAAATTAATGCCTGCTCAGGAATTATATACCACATCCTAACAGCCCAATTTCCCCTCCCAAAGATCCTGTTTGGATGTATAGGGAAATTACCCCTCCACTGCAAAAATGATTCCAAAGGAAGAGGGAATTATTTTCCAAGGATGCACGCCCTATGAAATTCTTCTACAATACTGTCAGCTCCTCTTGCCTGCCAAAAAGAGCCTGCAGGAGGGAAAGCCTACCATCTTTCAGCAAGTTAGCCCCTTTTTGACCAAGGCAGGCATGTTAGGAGGCAGGATCTGTCCTGCAAATGTAATGGGCTCTTCCACTCATTTATTATGTCTGCTTCTTATCATTCCACAGAGGCACAAATATGTCTTCTTGTTTAGCTGCGCCTTGAATCTTACCCTGAAGGTCCTAACTAACTATAATGAGTTGATTGTGTACAGACATTTCATAGCATCTTTGAACATCCATATGCAGTCAACATTCTGAGTTTTTGTACATATAATTGCATTCTTTTAAATTACCTTTAGCAAATTAACTGGTGATGCCTCTGGAGCCACAGCCAATAATGACATCAAACCAAAGTCCATTTATCGTGCCAAAACATGGTCAGATGAAGTTGAGAATCTTTACAGATTTCAGCAGGCTGGATATAGAGATGAAATTGAATATAAACAAGTGAAACATGTTGATATGGTAAGACTTGAAAGTTATACAAATATTATGTACTTTGGCAGTAAATACTCCTAAAGTATTGCATATAATAAACTAACCTGGATACTGTGATCAATATCAGAGGTGCTCTTCAATGGGATCATGTCAAAATTATATATAAATACTACGTAAAATTGTAGTATTTTGGTTGAGATCCAAAATGTTGCATAACTCATTCTACATACTCAGGACCACTTTAGCCTGGTATTTCTCAAACATCAGCCCCCTGCTACCTGGCACACAGCAAACTACCTTTTAATTTGGAGGGACTTTCAGAAGCAATTTATAATATGGTGTTGCAGATGGTAGGGTCTGCTGTTCAAAGAACAGAAATCCCACTAGGAATGACCAAGCCCTTTGGAGCAACTGAAGTAGCTCTTTGGCTCCCTTCCATCATAACTAGGAAAATGCAGAAATGGCTCTTTATGTCATGAATCCATGATAAATAGATTCTCCCTGCCTTTTAAGAAACTGAATAACTGATATTTATTTACACAATGATTAGAGGTTCTGCTTTGCTTGACTAATCAACAGGAATTTCCCACAAATGGACAAGAACAAAAGGAGAATTCTGTGATTAGAGCTGCATCTCATATATATAGTACAGTTGGAATTTGGCCAAGGTTTGCATGCAGATCTTCCTGCCAGAGGAATTGCTGTGGCAGGGTGCCCTTCCTGCAGCCATGAAATGAAATTATAGTGTAAAGAGACAGTTCTTAGGATACTTTGATGTTGATCAGCAGCAAACTGAGGTCATCTTACTCATGAAGGTTGAGCAATTAAACTGTTTCCTCCCCAGAGGAATGTCATGTGCCGCATAGGCTGTGTTCATGTCCTCTAGCATTTCATTTTGAAGAAACCATTGGATGACATTGCCCTATCAAGGTGAGAATTTCATACAATTGCAGTCATCAATGTCCCTTTTGTCACCCTCACCCTATGTTGAAAAAGGTGAGATTTCAGTAAGGACTGAGTTGGCCCATTTTGCCTTAGTTTCTGGCCCTCAGAGCATGCTTTTCTACTTGCTCAACCATTCCGATCCCAAAGAAGGGCAATGCCAAAGAATGTTCAAACTACCGCACCATTGCACTCATTTCACATGCTAGCAAAGTTATGCTCAAAATCCTACAAGCTAGGCTCCAGCAGTATGTGGACTGAGAACTACCAGAAGTACAGGCAGGATTTCGAAGAGGCAGAGGAACTAGAGATCAAATTGCCAACATACGCTGGATCATGGAGAAAGCTAGTGAGTTCCAGAAAAACATCTACTTC